AGAATATGAACAGACATCTAACGAATGTATTGAGCAGAAATAAGGAAACGGGGAACAGTCTCATGACGACCAGTACACGCACCTGAAATACCATTTGCCATTCGAATTTAGAACCTTATATTGTACCACTACGAGTCACCAAATACACGTCCAAGGAAGTCGGTGATCTCACATTCCATCCATGAGTTTGGTTCTATCTCAGGAGGCGCAATACATTGCAATTTTGCCTCTTCGGAGTTATCGAGGAACGAATCATGGTAGCATTAGGGATAACACTGCTTGTTACACAGAAAAGGTATGCATTTCTCTTCAAAGGTAAGATTAGGAACGGTTGCAACGACGAAGATACTACTGTCTCACCTAGTAAATATGACCTCTCTATAGCGGTACACGTCCTATTTTTACTAGTAGGATGGTCGACCGATCGTTAGATATGAAATACATAAGTGAAAGAAGACGACAATGGCGGTTATGCCAAAACAGTCGAATCAGTCAGTTGCGTCTGTCGTCCGGCACCAGTCCGGCACATTCACAGCACTGTCCTTTTCCAATTTCCCAAAACAGAGCTAGTATTGTATCGCACTCGAAAGCGCCAGTCGCCTTATACTTTGTATTGTTGGACTCTCATTCCGTGCTCCAAGCAGATGTTGCCTCTACCGCCCTAGCCGTTCACTTGCTGCCCACCCCCGAATCCCTGAATCGTCAGAATTTCAATTCCAGGGCGCAAATTCGCTCTTCACTCATGACGGGGTCGGAAGTTCACGAACTCAAGAAGTATGAAGTATCTCACGTCGTTGAGACCACCACCACGATACAGATTCCTTTGCGGTTGACGCCAGGTTTAGGGAGCCACAATCTCGTTGCCCTGCGAAGATCACCTCGATATTAGCCCAGCCCCCGCTACCATGGCGAGGAATCCACGCATCATGGCGTAAGCAGCTTTTGTTTACTTCGTTTCTATAATTTGTATCCTCCTAACAGGCTTCTATCGTCTCATTTGCTACTAGGGTGGTAGTTTATTTGCTCCGTTACTTGGGTTTGTGAACGTAAAAGATAGCAAACACAGTGTGCGTCCTTTCCGTCTCTATGTGTGGTCTGTACAGATTACCGGCATACCTTGCAGGTCGATAAAGCCGTGCTCTGGGCCTTCAAAACAGAGGAACTCCCAGGTGATGTATCTAGTGGATATGACGCGCCGATGATATCTCACTAGGCTCCATCGCCGCTGCTGCTCTCTTTCCGCTTTCCCGGCCAGCAAGAACCCTGCCCCTTCTATCCCTCTTCCTGATTCTTCCCGGTTATACCCGTCGTCAGTTTGAGACCAACCGATAAGCAGTTACATTCCATTCCCTCAACTCTTCGTTACATGAATCAGCCGATCCTAAACCATCGTTCATATCTTTGGCCAATTAATCAGTGACGGGGCAGTGACAAGATAATAGCAGCTCGTGTATAGCGTTGATTAACGACCCAGAGTACAATAGAAGAAAGTATGCCGGTACATAGATATCGAGGGTGCGTAATAGAGAGAAAATCATGGTCGCCTATGATTCGTGTGATTCGTGAATGATCACATTTCGAAAATATATCGCAATCATATTCATCGATCCGTGAAAATTCCTGGGACATCCTTCATGTCCAGAACCAGCACACCTGCTTCCTCCAATTCATCCTCTACTTCTGCCTCTATCCTGAAAGCAGGTGTTATTCCTCCTCCATGAAGCACTTCCACTCGGTCATATGTCCCATGTGCGCCCCTAATCAATATCACTTCATTACCTCGGTCGAGCGCCACGCTGCACGCTAGGGAAAAAATTAAGGAAACGAGGACTAACAATATATGCATCACTTACTAGCTCTCACCGAGAAATCCGACCCCAATCCAGCAACCACAATCTCCGCCTCTGGTGGGATAAGCTCTGCCAACCTGGTACCCGCAAAAGCGTTGTTTTTCAACTTGTCCACAACATGTTCCTGCACTAGTGGAGGGAAGAAAAGCTGCCATCCTGGAGCTTTCGGTTCGTCAGGGTCTCCAAGCTCGCCGCAATTGCGTACATGGATAATGCGCGGAGGCGGTCTGGCATTCCTTGCAATAGTCAACACAGTGAAGATGTTTGTGCGCAAAAGCGGCGCGGATGGTGCACCTTTCGGTGGGTCACACAGGTTACAAGCCTGGACATCGAGAAGGAGAAGTACCCGTTTGTCTACGGTCATCCTCAAGCCGATTAGAAAGACTGAAGACGTAGATGGGTGTGAAGAACATGAGGTGATGGCATTGGTTATGATCTTCCGCCGCTAGCACGAGCTTGGACTATAACCGGAAAATTGGAGGAAATGAATGATATATGGACACGTGTACGTCCAAATTGAAGCCGGATTAATATTCGATTGATAACGATGTTCATTGCTAACGAATGGTGGCAAACCTGTGGTGAACATGCATGAAAGGAATCACAGGATAGATACGTACCATCGATAACAGGGTTTAGGGAAAGCCCAGCCATTCAGCGGCTTGATCGAAGCAAGAGACCACGGAAGAAAACATATTCCTTTTGTTTACTCAATCCTCCCTCAAAGCGCCGATTACATGTCGTCAGAAAACTGGATGGAAAGAATGAACCCCCCGAGGGAAAGGATCGACCGGGGCTTACATTCGAGGAGTTACGCGGACAGTCTGTATCATGAGGTAATCCTGGAATAATGATACGAAAACAAATCTGAACTTATGCTACACGGATTTTGACCAACAAATGCGTAATTTCAGAGGACTAACGCTCCACCGAATTCACCGTTCTTAACCATCTCCTGCAAACAATTTAGACCCAAAATTTCCGTTGATGATGAGTTAAGGGAAGGCGGGCCAATCGTTCCATGTTTGCAAGCCTGCGATTGCGAACGAGGTGAGGAAAACGTTATGACGAAAGTACAGCACTCACCCTGTCTGGCGCTCTCGTCGCCAACTACATGACCTTGTAAAAGTCCACGCATACGTCGTAAAGCCCCGCGTCTCGGATCAGATAACAATTTTGCTCTGGTGCATGAATCTGGTCGTAGGTGACTCTAGATTTTCCAAAGGGTCGAGGAAGATCACTTCGTGATTGGTGGCTTAACTGAAGGAACGGCAACGAATTTGGAAACGCCAGTCATCAAGGCAGGTGCATCTGCACCTGAGATATGTTAAATAGTGTATGTCCATGGAAATGATTGTAGCAGTCGAGTATCTTCCGTTTTCACTCTAAATATTAGCAACCTTAAAAAGTCCGAGATAGCTAGTCGTGGTTCGGATTCTATATGTAGATATTCATCAACGGTAACATGTCATTAGAGCTCGAGGAATACCTTCAAAAACAAGATTGCGAAATACTTCTCCGCCAACTCAAAGGCTACAACGTTCATCTATAGGGCTCAGCCCTTCCCAACTAGAGTTTAGCACTGCAACGCAGTTGAGATCAGGAGATGAGAGGGCGAAAGTCACTTCATGGTAGCTGGACGTTGCGAGACGTTGAGGGAAATGTTTGTCATTATCGGATAAGATTAAATGGTAATTGCGCTCAGTCAAGCGCTCAAAACTCAACAATGAAGTTTGAACGTTTGAACACCCCGTTCCACCGCCATCAGTTGCGATACTGTACACAACAGGGCTGATATCTCTCCAAGACTGAAGGGGCTTAATGCGCGATCGGGCACGCACGACAATTTCTAATCTAGTATATACGTATTCGGATGCTGGCAAAAAAACTAGGGTACACATATAATCAACACGTCTGCGCTCCAGCTGAAAATAACCCCGTGGACCAGATGTCTACACCGGTAATCCAAAATTTCCTTTTCTCGATCAATTCCGACCACCATACGGGATGTTGGATCGTCCGACCCTTCGAACTTCAGGCAATAAAGCCCGCGTTGAGTGGCAGGGTCATATATTGCTTGTTGCTCTCACCTGTCTTTGAGCTGACTGAAATATCAACTTATGGTATGTTCATATCAATGTTCTTCATTTAGATTGATTCAAATGATGTTTTAGTCAGAGTCGACTGACATTGTCAAAGTCTCTCTTCCTTCGGAACTACAGGATATGATCATCGAAAGGATGTTGGACCTCGATAATGCATACCTTTTGCTCGCTAGTCTTGTTTGTAGAGATTGGCGATATTACAGCTACCAGGAAGTCTTTTCTTCGATCTGCTTCGATAGTCACTCTATCCCAGTCTTTGCATCATTCTTGGACAACCCCTTCTCCCGACCAGCCATATTTCCCCGAGTTCGTCGGCTTCGTATACTTGGCAATGGTAAAGCTTCTCTCTGGACTTCAACACTCCTCAGAGATCTAGTAAAACTCCTCCATCACCTCGTACAGATCGGAAGAATATCGGATTTGGTGCTTGATAACCTCACCTGGGCTGTCCTAGATCCCGCGCTGGCGCCTATATTGACAGACTTCCTGAGCATCGAACGCCTCTCCATGCGTCGTATATGCTTTGCACAACTTGGCCAATTTTCCGACTTCGTCGCAGGCTTTCGCTTAATGCGTTCATTCGACCTAGAAAGTATCGAGTGCCCTCCCCTGGTTGGCTGGAATCATCCGCTTCCGTCACTTGCCCCATATGAACTCGGTCACTGCGTGTCTCTGGAAAGAAGTAACGCGACTTCCTCCGCAAAGCTTACTTGGGTATATCCAAAATGCATATCACGCGAAGAAAGGACTGTTTCATCCATCCATGGCGCTCAGATTTTCTGTAATTCACCCACTAGCTCAGATCTCTTGAGATCCCTTGGCGCTCTTCTTGCAAGGCTGCATGTCATCTCCGGTAATTTCTGTTTCATAAGTTTCATTGATTCCAATTTTGATTCTATTCGTCTCCAGAAAATATCACCGCAGACGAAGATATTGCTTTGCTCGATATTTCCATGAATTCTTCCATCCGGCACCTGCATCTCTCCTCGCCTACTCGCGTATTGAGTATGATTTCATGGTTACCACCTCTTCTTGCCAGAGTAAAAGGATCAAATTTAAAGACACTCCATATGTCGTTTGCTCAGTCGCGTCAATTTCACCTGGATCGCCCTTTCCTGAAACATATTGCTGGGATTTTGGACAAGCCTCAATTCCAGGGCCTTGAAATGATCGAATTCATTGCCTCTTTCGCCAGCTGTGGGAGACTGGAGGACGATGTGAAACAGGACATCATCAACTGTATACGCTCTTGTTTACCTTACTGGGAGAGGAAAGGTATCCTTGCATTCAATTTTGACTAGATTATCAGGTAGGGTTCTTTTTTTTTTTCCTCAGGTGCTTCACGATTGACTCTCGCTTTATATTATACTGCCAGCTTTGTATTGCACGATGCTATGCAAGATCCCCGCGATTGCTGTGACGTTTCGAATGTCCAAAATCCTATGATGGATATGGACGGAATCAGATTGTTTCCATTGGGCAGCGTCAGAGTTCACGAGCTCATTAGTATTGTAGTCCCCATGCCGAATGAATATCTGGGTGATAGAATTAGGATATACTCATTTAGTGTAAGTGCATATACAACGTTATAGCTTACAGTACAAACGACACGCATACTGATACTGAAAATCAGAAGTCCAAGTCAGTTCAAGTTTCAGGTTCTGATTAGTGCCGAGGCTCTGTGCGACATTCTGGAATAGTGACCAACATAGCATAACATAGTAGATCTGTTGACCTCTTTCGGTCGAATTAGGCTTGAACAGTTCGCAATAATTTTCGGAGACATCGAAGAATATCATATTGAACTTATTCTTTCCTGAGCGTCGCTGTCTAGCGAAAATATGTCTTCGCGTAGGCTGCTGAGAACTCCTTCACTACCTCAATTTCTGACAAGTCGGCGAATCTTATCAGACGATGGGCTATAATACTTTCAATCCTCTAAATCTAGTACTAGACTTTGCTACCAAGTTTACAAACTCCGTATTCAGTCATGTCCCACCCACACCTCCCAACCCCATATGTTGACGAATATCGCTCGTACAAGTGAGAGGGCCTAGTTATATTTGGTTTAGTTGAAGGTTCTGGATCACTCGCTATGCTCAATGCAATCTTTGAACTTGTAAATCTTGAGGTTTCCCTTACACTAACCAGTCACTCATAAAAATTACACTCGAGCTTGAAAGGGAGTTATAACCCCAAGTGTTGATAGATCATTGGAGGCAAATTTGTCATGAACTTCGTCTCACATATCTTCGTATATTGAATTTGGTGTTTCTATCTTATTTCATTCTTTTGTGCCTCAATCTATGCCCTATTTCCATATCAATCATTTATGATTCTCTGATTGGCAACAAGTTATCACTCTGTACACGGTCTCATTCGTAAACATAGCACAGGTAACCAGCAGTGTGATTCATTACATCTCCAATAGTTCCTCCAGGGAACATGTTATCCGTATAGATTCGGGAGGACGTCTATGAATAGTTCAGCCTCAGTATTCCCAAAGAGCCGTGGCACGATTACTAACGTTAAGCATAGGAGGAGCACCATTAGGATATTCGGAGAAGTACGTGGTGTTGTCAAATGCCTGTACTGACCCACCGTAGAAGGCGGTTGCGCTGGTCCCGTTCAAATTTTGCCAGTCGGACCAAATCTTGTCAATCATCTAAAGAGCAAAGAGTAAGATTTATGATTTCAGTTAGCAGAAGCATCCTTTACCGCGTGGTGCAAGAAGAAGAGCGGTGAGTTGGGCGACCATTTGTTACCAGGAATGCAATCATCTGTGGTCGCTGGACATGTTCCTGCGAGATCACTGGAAAAAAATGTCAGATATATGACGTACCTCCGAGATAGAGGTATATCCTCACCCGCCCGTTATTGCATGCACGGAGCCATGTGCGCCCTGAGAAATACTTTGTGATTGATATACAAAGAATACCATATCTCTTACTATCCAATTATCCAAGCTTTGTTGGAAACCGACGTAATCGCCAGGATTGCCTGCAATAATAGCAGCAATCTGATCGGTGTGGAATGTTGAGTTGGCATAAGTCTCAAGCATCGTAGAGTTGAAAAACTGAGCAATTGTAGGACTAGAAGCCGCGAAAGCTGCGAAAGGTTGCGCAGTGTACTGGTGGCGAAGTGGATGATAAGAGGGGTAGGCAAGAGGGAAGCCGGCGAACGCGCCATCCTGAACTTCATAATCCTTGTCAGGATCACCCCAACCACCGATTCCACTCTCGGGGTCTGAGTCCTGCCACCAGGATGACGTATAAAAGTCGGGGGCATCTGAAAAATAATCATTACTGTAAAGAAAATGAGGATAGTTGTCACGAACCAATGGTCCAATTCCAGTAGGGGAATCCACCAGAGAATCCACACTTGTCAATCATCGCTTGCTCTACCGAATGGACAAACCATCGGTGGAACGGCAAGAACATACCTGTTTGGTGTATCTAGTGAGATTATCCGTGAGTAAAGTAGTGTTTTGCAAGGGATAGAAAACTTACCTTGACATTCAAATCCATATGCATGTAAGAGATGTCTGCCGAACGCCGAAATTTATCAGCATTATCTCTTTAACAAAGCAAATAGCTCACCGTCCCAGAAGGAGGCCGAGGTATTCATGGCGGGAATTTGTGAGATTGAGGAATTCACAGTCGCAATTAGATCAGGGTTATGAGGGTTCGCGGCCAAGCATTTCACTGCTGAGATCCATGCCGCTCGCTCGTCTCTGCTCAGTGTTCGCCACTCCCTACGAACAGTAGGATTAGTGCATTGCGCGTCATTCGAGACAACCAAAAGTGCGCCGGAGAGTAGTACTCCGAGAGTGGAAATGAAACCCATAGCCAACTGGATATTCTTAAGTGAACTCAAGGGAAATTGCTTTATATCCGCGAAAGGATGCGCCTATGAAGATGTCCGTGAGAAGGATTATCGATGTGCGGAGATCGGTCGACGGATTGTTAAGGCCTTTAAAAGCATTTCGACACGACTTTCGGCCTCTGAGAGAACGGTTTGAAAACAAATGTCCTCATGTTCCTTTTGTCTTCCCCTAGTACCTTCATATCACATTATTCGGATGCTGCGGCAATAATGGGTGACTTCCCGCTGCAATTATTCTGCAGTTAACCTGCAGTTAACTATTAACGGTATTTGATGCGACGTACGGACTGTTGATGGGACCCTCGCTTACACCAAAAACCAGTTTACAACAGGGTAGGGAGGCCGTTGTAAGTTGGTTTTGATGCAGTTTTTGCGAAGCCGCTGTCCGGCCATCTTCGCTTAGGTTCGCTTATATTGGTGGCACAAATTAATTGTCTGGTGTCCTGCAAATAATTCCTACGGGAAGTCATCCAATGAGACAGCTTAGAGTACACTCAGTGTAAGTAAGGAAAGGATCGTTCGAAGCCGCTTAGGACTTACAAATCAATTCCACAATTAAATGTAGAGGGTGAAGGAATCACTGACCAAAGATTCTGGATCGCCGGGGGATTATGAAGGTCCCCGAATATGTAGTCCCTGCATATGGAAGGATTCTTAAGTATCCAGTTTGTATGGTCTCAATGAAGGGCTATAACTCAGCTCGGCAAGTCCTTGCACACCAGCGGCCGAGGGAGGCGACCTTGTCCGCGTCTGCCCAATGGTATAAAACGCTCCAAAAAAGAAAAAGAAGGGCTATAACTCTGACACTGACGGTCAAGCGAGAGGCTGCAGTACCGAGACCCATTGATTATCACCGCGGACGGTTCATCATTGTGTTCTTAGTTGTCGGGTTAACTTGTGCAAGTGGGTGTGAATTCGACTTTCGTAGATAAAAATAATCTTTCTTGGACTGAACGAGCATCCGGTATCAAAGCTCAGATGCGACACAACGCGAGAAGGCAGCTCCAACCTTCTGAGACATCAATAGAAGGTAACTAGGTATATTCCTAGGAGCATGCCGATTCACGGTTACAGTCGATCTTGGGCCATTTGCCCAACGAAAATCATTTCGATGTAAGAACGAGGGGCATGTCAATAAATCTACATGTTATAGGACCACTGTAAGAATCAATATGAATGGACCTATGGATTACTGACCAAAGGGGATGAAGCAAACTACTTGCTGTATGCCGCGCTTCTGGCCTCGCGATCTCATGTAATCCAATGCACCTGCACCTTGACCACAACCTCAAGACTTCTCGGTGATATTTTTGACCCGTTCGTTCGACGGAGAGATAACGGTTCGGAACTAATATTGAGAACCAACCGCGTCAAGAAGCGTCAAGACTCAAGAGGCGGCATCATGCAAGGGAGGATTTAGAAAGGAAATTGGTATTTTGTGCAGATGATCCCGGCCTAAATGAACCAGTGGAAAAATGTACGGTATCATGAGCAAAGACAACATACCTCCCTTCAATGTAAATAGCATGAATGAGCCTTAACTATAGTTTGATTCGAGTTCTGAGAGATTTGAAGCCAGTAGAATGATTCTAGGCGCTTTCCACGGGCCGCGGCAGGCGCTTATGACTGTTGTTGTTTTCTTGTCTGCTTCCTCGATGAAGGTCAACCCGCCTCAAAGACGACATCTGAATTCATGCGATGAATGTCGCAAGCGCAAAGGTAGAATCTCTTCATGATACTGTCGGATGTAACTGAGCTCTACCATTCCAGTTCGCTGTAAGTTTTTGGCCAAACCTTGAAATCTCCTTTGAAGATTGAATCCTCAAGGTGATAGCGCGACGATTCCCGGCAATGTTTGTACAGAATGTTTAAGATGGAAAACTGAATGTACGCACAATATGCCCAATAAGGTGCGTATATTCCCAAGGATCCTAGTGGCATAGCAGTTTGATATAACTTGTAATAGAGACGTGGACCCAAGGTCGGGCAAGTAAACTGGCTGATCTCAACCCTAACTTACCAAGATTGACTGTGCCCAGTAGATCATCTCGAAGATCCTCTACATTCAAGGCAGAACTGAAGCACGTTGTCTCTTCCATCGTTGACTCCGCTGATACCTACACTTTACCTAAAGACTTGAACTTCGTTCGAACTCTAGTCATCGACCTTGCTTCACATATCCGATTCTTGGAGACACAGTTGAGACAAAACCTCAATTCCACCAGGAGTTCATCACCGTTCATTCCTCCAACCCTCAACCACGAGTGTGACGTCTTGGGAATCAATACGGGGGACGTCGATGTGCTTTCCTCTCGTTTCGAAGAGATCCTCACCTTAGACAACCAGCGGCATTATGGTGATTCTAGCACGTTCCAGTTTGTCTGGAACGCGCTTCATATAAAAGGCCAAATTTCTAGCGGAGAAATTCAGCCGTCAATCAAGGTCGACAAGCTCAAACGACCAGAACTCTGGACGGTACCTAAAGTAAGTGGCTTTTTGATTATTTTCTTTATAAACGTCGTGACGCTCCATCAGTGGCCCGCTTCTCCTGCTTTCGAACATCTTCCCTATGTCTTTCCAGATGACGACCTCATGCATGATCTCATCGACCTTTATTTCGCCAAAGTGGAACCCTACTTCCCAATGCTCCACCGAAACACACTAGAGCAATCTCTCTCGGACGGCCTTCATCTCAGTGACCGGCGGGTCGGTGCCATTCTTCTGATGATATGTAGCTTGGCTTCTCAGCATTCGGACGATCCACGAACGTTGAACGAGGGTACCGAGTCGGAGTACTTCAAAGGCTGGAAATATTTTTGTCAAATCCGGCTCACCCACCGATTCGAAGAACCTCCTTCAATACATGAGTTCCAGCTTTATCCAGTAGGTGGTCTTCCGTTTCCCAAGTATTATACCTCATATGTTATTCCTAGTTGGCATCCCTGTATCTGCACACTACGAATATATCAGGTGTAGCTTTTTATCTCATCGCAATTGGAATACGCTCTGCACATCAGAAGGGCGTAAATGAACGCCAGTTTGTGGTTCCAAATAATGCCATCGAAACTGAACTATGGAGGCGAGCATTCTGGTGCCTAATAGTATTTGATATTTATGGTAGTACTACCCTTGGACGACCGCGGGCAACCATTGCTGAGAAGTAAGCTTCGGCCTTTTCTGCCCCAATATCCTGATCATGACTTCGTTCGTTTTATAGCATTGACGCAAATTACCCTCAAGAATTCGATGATGACCTTCGGGAAAAGGACACAGAAATATCTTCTGAGCCTGTGATAAACTCATCATCAATGTTGTTCTGGGTACATTACATCAAACTGTTCGAGATCATCGGATTTGCAAATCGCGCTTTTGTGAGAAAAACGGTTACTCAAACCGTTCGCAACGCTAAGCATCCTCTTAGTATTCGGTCAAAACTTCGGAATTGTGGAATCGGTTGGGTATCTCTGGTCCAGAATGGGATCACAAAGCAGTGATCGAACTAGATGCTGCGCTTAATAAATGGTTCGATACAATTCCAAATAATCGTGAATATCTCTGTCTAGCTGCTTCCAATGTTCCACGCTCATGCGACTATCAGTTAGATGGGACCCGCAAGGCCAAAGCGAGACATGCTCACGACAGTCGAGTATGCTATACGCTACGTATTATTGGGCTCAATATCAAGGTGTTTGTCATTGCCTCCAGTATTCCATGTCTTCTAAAGGTGAAACGCAGTACACAAGCCATTCATTTCTCGTTCCGACACTCCCTCGACATTGCCATCAGTGACGATTTGCGCAAATTCTGCACGAACGATGATTGGTTTACTCGAGACACAGCATCATCAACATCCATTTGTTGCTCTACCTCTCCTAATAGTGAGTCTATCATTTTATCGCTCATTCACACATTCATCTGAACGAACTCTCAGGGACCTCTTTTTGACTCAGCCATCGTCCTGCTGATCAATTTGTGGAGAGGCCTGCGAAATCAAATTGCGCTGAATTCGTCAAAGGAGCTAGAGTGCGTGCGTAGGTGTATTAACGTACTCAGCATGTATGAAAAACGGTACGTTCGAAAATCCCAACTTTCACACCGAAAGGTTCACAAAAGTAGATATCAAGTTGCGGGCCGTCTATGGTTCGTCTCATGCAGATCTATTCTCGTTTTGTTGATTTAATTATCCCCATCTATATACAGCGATCTCCTGAACAATGTTATTTCAGTGGACCTGCCGACATCTCCTGAGAGGCGCCCTCCAAAGCGTCCTGAAACGATGGTGGATGTATCACCTGTTTTGGAACATTCAAATTTCGAGCGGTACCTTTCGCGGAATGGAACCGGTGAACCAGTTCCATCAAGCTCTGAAGATCGGACTGTGCTCGATTCAGATTCAGTAGCTCATCTCGAAAGTTTTGACGTCCCATATCACTCATATGAACTTGGAACATTACCGTTGTACAGTTCATGGGATCCTGATGCTCACGGGAGCACAAGTGTAAATGCTGTTTATCCCGATAACGATCCTTTCGGTGGAGCATCATCCTGGTTAGCTTCCTCTCTTGAGCCATCTCAGTAAGGATTTCGAGTTATCCCTGAATAAATGATTTTTTTGATACTCCAATCAGGCAGGAGGATTGGGAATTGTTCATTGCAGGTATTGACATGTTGCTGCAAACAGGTTATGGAATGAATTCCAGTTCGTGAGCTACGACCCTCACTCGATTGAATGTTCAAAATTAGGAATCAGGAGCATAGATAGATTCACTTGCTATTCCATTTCTTTGTTTTCGAGTAATGAGTAATATATACTATGTATATGACATGGTGCGACAGTGTTTGTACTCGTTGCAATATCTAAACCAAAGCACTAAGTACGCAAGAGCTGCAAAAAGAAAATAACAGTAGCTTAGTGAGAAACTGACATTAAATCGATGCGGAAATCATGTAGTCAGAAATGCATAGATTCAATCAAAGCCAAAGCTCAGAAACAGCTTCTAGTTGAGATATATTTTAAACAGTATCATCGCTAGAGAAGAAAAGAGATATACGATGACATAGAGGAAACAGACTCACCTCACGAGTCACAGGACAACATTAGTTAGACCAACGAGCAAAGCAAGCGAAGGATGATGACACTCTGTGTTGAGATGTCAACGAAACAGCAACATGAGAAGCAAAGGTGAGAAAGGTGAAGTTCAGAAGGATTGCCCGAATGATTGAGCTGTGGCGGGCACTTTCGGCAATAATGATACGAAGACCGTCGTGATAGACATCATGCAACAAGAACGAAAATGAATCGATACTCACAACCTTAAAAGTACGGACCAGCGAAGAACGACAGGCAACAACATAGAGATATCTGGAAGCAAATGTAGTGAGTAAGGGTCAAAGGGCTACACATTGATGAGGGGGCTCAGTGTTTTTGTAAAACAGCCTTGGAAGTGTCGTCAAATAGCCCGAAGACTTGGATCAGGCGGTAATTCCTTTTATCTCATCACAGGAAAGACAAAGAATAAAAAGATGCTCACAGAAGGGAGTAGGTGGGATTGCATCCATGCCTGAGGGAACGAGAACATCTGCAAACAGGTTCAGTCATCGTGAAAGTTTGAGGACACCAAAGAGAACAAGCGCAGGAATTCAGGGGATTGACAGATATGTTAAAAGCATAACGCCGAAGGCGCTCAGATACTCTAGTTTGAATGATTTTGAATCATCATGAAGAGACAATGACATGAAACGGATAAAGGATATAGACTCACCGGAGCATCAACACATCATCAATCCACATTCTGAAATGCCCCCGCCTCCGCCCTAACTTCCGAGGTCAGCTGACCTAGGTAACAATATGTAGTCAGCGTACGCAGACACAGGAAAGATAAAACCGATCAGTGTAACTATGACATGACAATTACATTGCATCAAAAAATAGGTGGTTCTCGACACTCAAGCAACATTGAAGATTTTCATCGTTTCGAAGAAGAGTAAAGACGGAAACTCACTTAGTGCGTAATTGAAAAGACATCGTTGTTGTGGAAAAAGCATGAACAACAGAAAAAATATATATTTATAGTCATGTCACGGCCCTTGAGGGCAGGTTACATTACGCGCGTCCCGTAAGCGCGCGCTTGTAATGTTCAATAGTATCTACTATGTATACCCGCTCTCTATTTCACGCTAGCTCCAGCAGCTATTCAACTGTTGGGCTCTATCTTTAATAGATCCACAAAAGACTCAAGAACATACATCGACCAAGGTCTTAGCTCGAATCGTCTGATCACTTTCTCACGATCTCTTTATGAGCTCGGAGCGACGCTACTCTTTTGCCTTTTTGTCTCTCGCAGCTTGACCCGCCCCTTGAGGCAATAAACAACAACGACAACGAAGAACCTGCATAGTAAGCACCGCGCCTCGCGCCTTATTAAAACTCTCCAACCGTCACGCAGTAGTAGCGCGGGGCTTATATTTCAAAGTTTCCCCTTCAATCTCCTCGAATAATTATCCTGTTGTAAAATCTCTCAGGTTAGGGAAGAACCAGGGAAGAACCACAGATGATTTTTTTAATCAACACAACGAGCTTAATGACAACTCCAAAAACTTTCAGAATTCCGTCCATAACAGTCACGATGAGCTACGATGATAGAGACTTCCCTTCATTCCGAAAGGACAGATTCAGTTCATAAGTTATCCGACCGTCCACATATAATCTTGCCGACTACAATGGAACGTCCTCGCCAGGTCGCCATTATATTCAGCGCGGCTTTCATGATAGAGTCTCAAAAAGAAAGAATTAGAGCTATCAGATTCTTAGCCCAAAGTGGATCATCGAACTCAACTCGAGGGGTGGTCTTGTCTCGTATTATCACCGTCAACCAAGCCAGGTCTTGAGGGAGGAATGACTGCAACTGCTTGACCCTGAACTACCTACGACAAAATGGGTTGGTCGGCAAAGCCGAAGAACATTACTAATTTTTTTCATAGGAAAACGAGAAAGGTTCCTTTGACTTCATCACCTCATCTCAAGAGTTCAACGGGACCATCATTCATTGAGGTTCCTGATTACACCTCTGGTTTTCCAGAAAAGGATTTAATAACTCTCAAGAGTCACGGTGTTCCATCCGAATTCCGGTGGCACCAGCATGGGAGGCCCTAGCCCTTCCAACGCCGAGGCGGTCACGGCTATGACACTGCGAATTACGCTTCCTGATCCATTCTATGTCCAATCTGCATTGCACGCACAAGCTTACATCTGGGTTTGAGATCGTCTCCCAGTCACCTCCCCCCACCTTTGTAAAAACCTAAGAACGTTCATGAACACTTCTTACGACTGGAACGAGCAAAACTTTGATCCATCGACTACCGAGGCTTCAGACAGAAATGTAATTGTACATGGATGTCGGTCCTCCAGTACCCGTAATGTTCTGAGTGAAGATCTGTGAAGTTATCGAATCTGGGGTAATCATTGTCACCGATAGTAACGAGTTCTATAATCCTACCCATTACAAGATCACAAAATATCATATCCTTAACATGTGATGATATTGTGAGCCCTATGATGTCTTTAAGCCCAGAGATAGCCCAGAGATATTGTTCATAGTGCTGAGGATCGTTTTCATTCCGAGGACCAAAGAAACCTCATAGGCGGAAGCGAGGCCATAGACCCATATGTAGACACAAAGCCTTCTTATCCGGTTGCCCCCTCTGAAGCCAGTTCGGAGGCCCCCGGAAGCTCTACCAGAACCTTGTCCGGAATTGCGTATTTTAGAGGCCAAAATCGTGCAAATATACTTATTTGCTCTGATTTGACATGTCATCTTCGGGTACCCTAAATCAATATCTTTCTGCTGAGCAGAATGCTAGCTAGTAACAAAAGTTACAAAACCCAGTTGCACGCTCTAACCGCCAGTGAGGAAAAGCTTGCGCCCACTGTCTTCAACCATTAAAGACCATTACGTCTCGTTACGTTGACTTTGCCAGGACAAACACTCGACGAGGAACTCGCAGGCGGCAGGAAGTATCACAAGTGGACACGCCGAGGTCGTAGAATAAAAACAGCTACAAAAGATCAAGAAGTTCAAACGGCAAAAGTTGAGGGCAGTCAAAAGATACATCGACATAGAAAAATGATAATGTTAGTGGACTAGATTCTTAATCGCAAACTCTCAGACCCTCGGCCAAAATGCTGGCATTATGGCTTAGCTGGATATTCCCAGCACAAGTTCATCCTTCAAATGTTCAGTTGATTTTTCGGGATTATTTTCCATATGCGGCAATAGTTCGACAAATTTGATGTGTATGGAATGGAATGTGGATAATGTTTTGAGCGAAGGCTTCGCCACTAGTACAATACACATCTATTCGTGATCAATGTCTATGTTTTGAGGATGTTCGGTAGTGATCACCCAATGACTATTGGTTTGGTCTTCGATAGCTGTGCAATTGTCTCGTCATCAAGGTTCAGGTGAGCTTTCACCAGAGAAGGAGGTGTCAGTGCCAGCCACTGTGGGTCGAATCAGGACCCGAGCTCAGATTATAAGACAGGTCACTGACCTGATTTAAACTAATATCTTGGAATCGATCTGTATGCATAGAAATAATACGGTCAATATGATGTTCCTTACGGTACCGAAAACATTTCTAACCTGAGTTGAAAATTTCAAGGAACCGTAAGGTTGTATTGCCAGTGTTTTCCACGTAATGTCCTGAGATGCCTTCAATTATACGGATATATCAAATGACGATAACGATGTACACACCCATTGCAGTAGGAACATAACCTATGATTTCGGAAGGTGAGAACCTCAACACCATCGATGAATCATTGATCTTGACTTACCGATATCTCCAGCCTACAAAAATACATCCATTTTATTCGATGAGCATGCAAAACATTTAACTCACCTGATAATTGAATGTCCGGGCATTGCTTTGCGAAGCAAAGACTGTAACGCGCCCGGTTCCTTCTCTAAAAATAGACCGTGGTCGTTGAGCTCAGGCAATGGAAAAGCAGTAGTTACGCACAAGAAGAAGCTCCATTCATCCATGGTCGGATGCCACTGATTTTTTACACATTAGTCGGTCACTCTCATTTACAAGGACGTGACACCTACATGGAGTTCACTGAATGCCTTGTGAATAAGACAGATATGAGAATCATGTAAGACACACTTACCGCATTGCTCCTGGCTCAACAGTCACTTCTGCTGCAGCAATTGTGGTCGATATGGGGAAGATTGTTGAATCCACGATTTTCACTGAACCGCCAGAAAGCTGAGTCGCGTTGAGACTCGACAGAGAAAACGCATATGATTGAGGGATTGTCCCTTGCGGACTGATCGGGGCTTGTTGATCATCAGGTGGTACGACTACAATGGGACTCATATCAGTAAATGTCGATGTCAACGTTCGGAAAGAGTTTTCATACCACTGGGGAAAATGTACAGCTCCTTGTCGGGAATGTGCGCAAATGCCTCAGAGTTATTCACTTGGAAATTCTTTGAGATGACTATATAGGGTAAAACGGGAACTGAAAGTTGAATAATGAGAGAAAAGAGGACGAGAATCGACCACAACCTTCCGCGGGAACATGTGCAAGCCAATCAGTCAGCTGCAGTTTAATGAACATGAATTACAATACAAACAACAAAATTGAGAAAATATCACCAAGAATGTAGAATCCTCGCTGAAGGCACCGTCATCGAAGATCTATACAGGAATGTAAGCTGTGTTTTCAGATTAACGTCTGCCCTTACCAAAAGGAATTCAGTCCCATCTGGGTCGTCTCCAGTAGCTTGAATGGAGTGCGGGATTCCAGGAGGGAAAAACCACAGGTCACCCGCGCGCTATAGTAGGAATGTAGCACATGTCGAGAGCTAGGCTGCATAAAAAGGCTTACTACATTGGCAATGAAATTCCGACCTTCAGTGTCAACAGCTGTGATCTGGCTGGTACCCTACAATTTATATGAGCGTTGAATGTCATGATGAGAGTATGATTGTGGCTGACTTTGAGGACATACGCCCACTGAGAATCAATCACCCGTGTTAGTGACTAACTAAAACTGACGAAAATCATATTCACTTCCGAGGTCTTGTGCCAATGGAGCTCCCTGAAATTTCCGCAAAAGATCAATACAGTTCACAGTTCAGAGTGTACTATTTACCGAATAGCACCAGCTTCTAAACGCATATCGACACTGGCCATTGCTGAAATCCGGCTTGATGAGATCACGACGGGGCAGATGAGTTTGAGCATACCTGTCGCAATAGGCATTACATCGATATTCTCCTGTCTTGCCCAGCCTCCGGTTTGAAGGCGATTATGGCTCAAAGCAAAGGGCCATTTAGAGTTGCCCCTTCGAACGAGATTCGATCAGAAATTACGTCGCAATCATCGTCACTCACGTATCGCCATTATCAGAAGTGGGTGGCGCAAACAAATCAGCATTCTCCAGGTCCATGGGTATGTTATCTGGACCAATGATGGAGGCTCCTAGAGAGCCGCGCACTGGACTTGGGGCAGAGTCGGGACTGTCAATGTTCCAAAGAGGCTCATTGGGATCAGTGCTGGCGAACGGTACAGTGGTCACCGAAAGTGCAGCAGAGTCCGTGGATGAAGGGATCGCCGATACACTTTCAGTGATACTACCACTTGAAACGGCGGGAGCCGTGTTACAGAGTTTGCTTAGCGCAACAAGGAGGATGAGTGAGGAATGTACAGGAATCATTCTGCGAGGCCAATATAGCAAAAAAAGTTGAGGCTTTATATGTGTCTACTTGCATATACTGACGTACTGGTTCGCTCGTGAATAGTACGGTTCAGTTGTTTCAATAAGAAAGGGAACGAACTTGACAAAGCTCCAGGTGTTATTTTTGGCCCCAAGTAGGTGAGAAGGGATCGAAATCCTTTTGAGTGAACGGGCTCTTGATCCATTGTTCCGTGTCAAAATTAATCGCCGCTCGCCAGGTCAAGGTGCGTTGGTCCATCGGCATCAGGTACCTATACCGGCAAGACTTTTGAACAAGCGGGTTCTTCATCGAGTTCATCGGAAGCAGGAATACCGGCAGGTGTTTGAAAACACCACGAAGACTCAGGAAGCATTTCCTCGCACAACCCTAGTTAATGGTCTAGATGTAATTAGCATACTATCTAGAAATGCGATAATGTAAACACCACGGGAAGTGAGAAAATCCACGGCGAAAACAAGAAATTTAGTAAAATAATCACCCACGAGATCTCGCCTCCTAGCAAGGGAAAAGGCCGACACTACGGTCTTGCTGTATTATCGATATCGTTTGATGTACTTCGATGAACCAACTAAATCCTTTGTGAAACGGTTTGAATCCATTAGCGATCGGATACTTCAATTTTTTCGAGAAATTCTTGTATGGCAGAGCTTGTACGTGCAGATGCAAATGTCCCACTGAATTAAAAGGTGGGATGTGAAAGCCCATTCTATCAAAAGATCAGCAATGAAAAAAAATAGTCAATGGATCTTACTTTCTCATAGTGCTTTCAACGCCAAGTTGTTCGAGAAGCTGATGGCCCACATTAACCATGGCTTTTACTGAAAACGGCACGGCAGACGGAGCTCATCAGATGTCAGGGGGTTGCTTCAAGGGATCGCATGAGCATACATGTTTCAACATCCGACTTCCTCAATTGTCTAACACTTGCTGTATCACGGCGTCATCATAAGTATCATGGAACTTGAAAGCCATTGGCTAACGAATGTGCTCTTTGGGGATTACTTGGAAGTGATGTTCACATGCTGGATCCCGATCTCGAAAAACAACCAGGTTCGCATCCTACGTATAAAGAATGGGGTGAGGTCAGTAGAGGAGAAGTAACGATTAACATCAATACACGTACCCTCCCACATAACGTCAAATCCATTTTCAGTGGAAACGTTACAGAACGCACAGCTCTGATCATACTTTGAGTCTTTATGCAGTGACAAGTGCAGTCGTAAGGCTTTGGTCCTCATTCTTAGGAAGAGCGCGAAGACTTTTTGGAAGACCATGGTCGTTGATGAATGTAGATATGGTATCGCGTGTGAAATAATCACAGCATAGCCACCTTCCTGTTTTCTTCTCGGTTGTCCAAATACTTTACGATGTCTTAACACCTCTGTTTCTTCAAATTACTTTTCGAGATCTCATGAAGGATATCTCATGAAGAGCATTCTGGGGCCTGATAAAGAGTCGCAATTCTTTTGCGGGAATCGCAGAAGCGTACGATATAACATTTGTATACGTATTTCAACAAACATTTCGAGTACATGCCAATATTCAGGTATTCGAAGCCGCTCATCTAGTATGACAGTACTGCTGCCTGAGCATCAAGCTAGCTTGCCTTCATAATCGCTGCCCGTATTTGTCAAGACGCGCTTTCCATAAATATGACCAGACCTCCATAATACTTCGATCTCCGAAAAATTAGGTCTACTTGACGACGATATGCCAATCTACCATCCAAATCTTCGACCGGTATTCTATGTCGACGTCTGAATGAGCGAACTGCTTTTGATATCGTTTTCTATCAACCACTTCAAATAGTAACTTCTTCTTTCTTGAGTCTTCTTTACTTGGCTCAAGCTTGGCACGAAATTGCGATCGCTTCTTGCACTTTACAAATCTCACGTCGCGATTTGCTCTTCGTGTTTGCATTGACTATTTTCTTTGAAGTACGCGAGCGACGAGGACGTCGATTCCGCCTACTATGCGCGTAGTTGAGTTTGGTGAGTTGAATTGGGAAAGTGTCAAGAGAAAATTTGTATTCTTTAGGCAAATGAGCCTGAAGAACGAAGCCCAGATGTTGCCGTGACCCACTTTTCAGCAGGGTCCATATGTTCCCGGTCAATGGCTTGGTGGTCTAGCATCGAATGCTTTCTAGTTGAAGTCATTTCTCGGGTATTGTTTAGTTTGTTGAGCGGTCAGAAATCATCTTGGGAACCGGAATCTGGCAGATCATATTGGTAGTAATTTCCGGTGAAACTGGGGCACTAAATGGCCGCGCTCCCTGCCAAGGACCTGAATGAAACTAAAGATGATTGCCTGGGCTCTGTAGAAGTATGACTTGTGAAGTTGATGATCATTTGTGTATCCTCTAGCTTTCGCCTGTACATGTGCCGCTTTACATCAATAAAGAAATGTAAGAATGTGCTCCTATAGGCCATGTGCATGAGCTGGCACTGTGACTATACGGCCATACATCGATTCATCACTAGCTCACCTGCCAGCTCACAAATTATACTGAGATACTGCGTCATAAATTTGGAAGCTTGAGTACTCCCGTTATGACCTAAATTAAGCAATATCATTTACTTCAAAGTTCGGAAAACATATCGGCTTCGATGAAATTAGAATATCTCAAGTCGGAAATCGATGGGATGGATTTTCCATTATTCGAACAAAGGAAATAACCGCCTATAGTGACTATGAATACAATGCGACACGCTGTATGAAAGAAAGGAGGCTTACCACGCGTAGAGAGGCCTAAGTAAAGTACTGAAGTTCGCCGTTATCTGAAGTTCCCAGAGCGCGATGTCGAACGTCGAAAAAAGCAGATGAGACGGAGATGTCTGGAACTCCGAGAACGCATTGCAAGGCCTTGTTTCAATGAAGGTATTGATGTCATGTCAACGGATGGTCGGGAAGAGGACAAGATACATTTCATGAAGGGCTTCAACGTCCAAAGCGGAGCCGTATCAAGAACTCCAGTTTCGTATTCGTTCAGGGTAATCATGTACCTCTGGTAATTCCGGTACAGTTCTCAACATTTCATTCCGAATTTACCCGCACTACGTGGTCATACACAAGAACAAGTTCAAAACTGCGGTCAGATAACGAGTATCTTCATTGAAAGCTTGAAAGCTTCAATCATGAACTGGCCATTCGGTCGTTTTAACCTGTGTTTAATTTTAGTTTTAGAAGAAGCTCATTCCAGGGCTAATTTGGGATACCTCAGTAGGTGGGAATAGTGCCAGAAGAACGAATAGGAACCCTTGGATTACTAGTGCATACCGTACCCGCCCGACTTTTTTTTTTTTTTGAAAATTTGGGCGATACCGGTTTCGCCAACTGACGGTTGTAATCATCAGAGCCGGTACCAGCGCCTGGTGCGAGGTTGATCCATTGTTGAGCCAGAAACAGATCAGCGGATGTGCCATGGGCCACTAGGTCGTCCGGTTCGAGATTCATGTTCATCCGATCATCTACGAAAATTTACCTTCCCTGGGTCCAAGCTGTGCCGGCACCCGACAGAAGACCAAGCAACAGAAAGAGCTCCGAAACGGAATCCCTGTGTAAACATAGATGTTCAGCAATCTGAGGTCATGAGTGGTCATGATATCGCCATAAAAAGTTCTGGTGTTCTTTAGAGTTCTTTACACCTCACCTGTCGATTGCAAGTGTTGCATTGACATCTAGTATGCGCTGAAAATTTGAGCGTTCATACAAAGATAGTTCCTGTACCGAGAGCATATTCGTTCAGCGAACGACCAATTTACTTTGTATCTGGTATGTGTTAGCTTCTATTAGTCCCGCCAGCCAGGATTCAGGAGCAGTGAAGGAAAATTGTTAAGCTTCTAATCAAATTTAATACCCTCCACTTGAACGCACCATATAGTATAAGATGATCTTAACCATCGTACTAGTGTAGTGGAGTTGGATTCAAACCAGATCCGTCTTCATTGCCATTTACATAAATCTCCACTCAACGCGAAAAGGTTGAACTTTCGGCCGTACAGCAATTCGGCTGTAATCGGTCAGCGTGTAGTCTAGGCCCGGTAGGAAGAACCAAATTGGGAAGCGTCGGGGCCGTTCTCTAATCTAGTAACACGAGTGCTCCTCGTTGCTTTGTCTCTTGGCCTTTTACTGCCATCTCCCTACTTTCATCCGCTGAAGCTTATCATGAGTGCCTCATCTCCTTACAGCGACTATTTCAGACGCCGTACCATTGGACGAGCCGCTTCGCCGCCGACTTGGGCTTGCTACGAGCAAATTCCATACGACGAAGATTACAGCGACAGCGATTCTGAGCCATGCTCTGAAGACGATGAGGATTATCACAACGCTAGTGCTGACAATGAGCATATGAATGACTTGGAGCACGAACAGGCTGGACATCGGTTGCCCGCAGATGACTCGAACGACCTTGATATGGATATCGATGAAGGCACCGATAAAATCGAAGGCATTGAGAAGGAGACATCTACAGAGCCGCAGAAGGACGCGAAAGGGAAGCAGAAAGCAATAGAGGCAGAGGTCGAGGCCGAGCCTCCAAAGAGGCATCATCGCAGGAGACAGCGTCACAATACGTATACTCTTCGCCCTATTCTGACAATCCAACGAAGCCAAGGTTTCGTCTGGAATCAAGTGAGTGCTTCCTTGTGTATTTTATTTCCTATATACTCAAAGCTTCGATAGGATCTTTTCATTCCTCCATACATCAAAGACAGATGTTCGTGACATAGGTTTCTTCCCTAAGTGACGCTTCATCTAACAAATACCCTTCAGATGTAGCCTCAACGTCTCCCCCTAATTCTTCTGGATTTATATCTACGTCTGTGTCTTCTACGAATTCTGCGCTGACCGACTACGAAATTGAGGTCGTCGAAATTCGGGTTCAGGAGGGCGATTTAGAGCACATTATTCCTTGACTTCACACATTCCGTTACATATTGCCACAACATATTTTTGTCGAACTTTTCTTGAATTTACCTCTTCCCCTGCTCAAATCAATCAAAACATTTTTTCGGACACCATAGGTGCAACAGAACTGAGCAACAATGTATGTACATTCAACTGAGTTAATCAGTCAAGACAAGACGCAGCGTGAGCTGAGCTTGAGCTTACCTGATTTCAGATATGATAAATAGGATGCTTCTCTCCCCTCCTCTCCTCTGAACTGTCATTACAACTATATCACTTAATGTCTAGTGCTCACAAGTATCTTGAGCGCCTGAGCGACGCACCCAAAGCTTTGATGTCTCTACATAATCTTACCCTGTCAATAACTCATTTGAACATACCCGAGTACGACGTCCTCACAATCCGTGTGTCTGGTGGCTTCACCCTCAAGAGGACGTGGAATAAGGAGGCATTTTTTGTTCTTCGGATAAGTACAGTGCTTGAAGAAAGGAAGGAAGAATTAGGCTAAAATGGCGAGCTAACTATATAAATGTGCAAAGTACCGGCAGTTGCCGTTTGTAACTGATTGAGATCCCTCGTCGGTCTCCATTAATCCTCCAACTCTGCCCCCACATCCATCTATCTACTATCCTACGTGGGTCCAAGATCTACAATTTGTAGGGTGTTTGTAGAAGGAATGCCCCTCACTTATGTTTCATATTTCTCGGAACCCCCTCTCGTTCAACCCGGAATCATCATGTACCTCCACAAAACCTTCTCGGCGGGAAAGTGTCGGCTCAAGCGCTTCACACATCAAGCACGAGACCTGGCGCAACGCTCTTACCTTTCGGGGCCATTTTTTGCCGAACCATGTCCGCTCCAATCCCTCCATGCGACCCAAATTGGAAAGCATTTTTCTCTACACACCCAATCGTCCAACCTCAGCAAAAAATTACCGTTCTAGGTACTTCGGAAGACGCTAGTGGTCACGCCCTTCGTGCGAAGAGCTCGAAAAGTGGGTCGGTGACAATCCTCGAAGGCCCGAACATTGTAGCGCTCAAACCAATCGCCAAAAATTGCCTAGGAAGGAAATTATTGAGCCTGGGACAAACACTCGCTTCACATGAGGGTTGATTCCTTTAAAAGCTCGAAAGATATACGGCTCAAAATCCCACAGAAAAGTCTTTGGACTGACTCTGAACACATCTTCTCGAATCCAAACTGATTCCCATTTTTTGCTGCTTTTTTGCTCGCTTTCTGTTCGTCTTTACCCTATGTCGTACATGTGGGTCCATGTTTGGTTCTTGTGTAACCCCTCTCTAACAATCCCGATTCCCTCTCCACGTGTTGCTCCGTCCTTGTTTGTCCTCATGCCGGCCTTCGAATTCATTTCCTTCCGTTGCAATGATTTGATTGGCCCTGTGGGTCCGTATTGGTTCGACTTTGTAGACCAATGTCAGCATTCAATGCCGGCGATGACTCTTCTTACGGACTTGATCTTCTTTCATTGAAAACCGAAGACGGTGATGGCTATCTTCCCCATTTCCGACTTTATTCTCGACCTGGTGAAGAAGAAGACGTGAAAACCGGTGGAGGGTCGGACGATACCTATAATCGATACGAGTCCCCGACCACTGGCTATACTTCCACCAGAGCTCATGGACACTCTCAGCAACTTTTCACGAATTTCCCTAGAGGCTCATCAAATGTGTTCGGGAGTACAGATGAGGTAAAATGGGTTGCTTATCTATGCCAGGACAATATACTGACTTCAATTTATGTCGCTGCAGCAGCTTTCAATGCCGCAGACATCCTCTCCGACCAGCTATGGACCTGAAATGGGATATCCGTCTCAATATTATTCTGCGTCACAATACGGAAATACCGCCACAAATTCTAACTACCTTCCGCAAGTAGACGTTGGGCAAAGTCAGCATTGGACTCAATCTATGCCCCCACAATCAATCCAGGATAGCAATTACGAATCTTCTCCAGGTCAAGCGCGAATTTACTACCGAGATCAATATCAATACCGCAGCGACACGGCTGGTACATATCATTCGTCCTCATCGTCTTCTGGACATAATTCATACGAATCCCTTCCGGACGCTTCTAGTGTCGAGACTTCTCGACGCCAAGAGACCATCGAAAATGTTCGCCGTCGATATAACATTCCCGACGGTATTCCTGTCAATCTAAATGCTATTCCTGATCCTCCCCTTGGTCAAAAGCCTTCCGAGAAGCATGCCAAACTTGTTCATCTAGCTATTGCTGGGAGTCCGAACCTCAGGTTGTCACTGAGAGAGATATATCATGCTATCGAAGAACGTTTTCCATACTACAAGAACCTCGCAGACAAGAAATGGCAGGTATGTGAAATTTTCATGTCCGAATCACCGACTGGAGTTCCACGGACTGACTATGTTATCAGGGATCTATACGACATATGTTATCTTTGAAGGCGGAGTTCATTTCGACGCCTCGACCTATCACAGAACCTGGTCAAGGACAGTATTGGTCTTTGAACATGAACATGACTGGAGACAAGCGTGTTCGCAAACGTCGCAGTCGTCCGCGACATCGAGCTGAAAGCACAGATTCACAAAATGAAGATGAGGCTGAGCCAGATCCAGCATCTCCCAGTGCCGAATCTCAGGATAGCATGAGCTCTCGTGGGGGTGCACGTTCCAGTCCCAATATCACAAGCACAACCTTCCGACATCAGAACCGTACTTCACCGTATATAGCCAACGATGTGAATTTGCCCCGACCCAACTCTCGCGCGAGCACCTCCCGCTTTCGAGAGACGCTTCGTCGCAGTGATTCAGAAAGCAATCTACTGACTAACGTTGAATCGTTGAACATCCGGTCTACCGCGCGCGCCATATATCCTCAGACTTATATGGGTCCTCCCCCGGTTCAAGCGCCTTATCGTGGAACCTGGTCGAGCCAACATAGTCATCATGCGATTCCGCCAAGGGAGCCCGCAATCGGATACAATTATCCAAACCCTCCCTACTATTCTAGTCTTCCTAGTCCTGTCATTCAACGACCATCATTCCCCATGCCAGCTATGAACAGTTACCCTCCCATCCCGTCTGCGCCCACTCGTGGGCTTATGAGTGGACCTGAAACGTCATCTACTTCCGGCTCTTCGAGTGGTCGCATGGTAGCCAGTCAAGCCGCACGCCCTATCTTCATTCCTCGCGCCGAAGGTTCGAGCGATTCAAGTTCGGATGCTTCTCGCAGTGCTTCCGCGAATGCGCAAGGTAAAAGCCGAGCCAATTAGGCGCATACATCAAATTTCTAGCATCTAAAAATCATCCTTGTCGGTGTTTTTTTGTCACTAAATCATTTCTCTTAGTGTACATGTAATAGGACATAAGTACTGACCTCTCATATGCCCCGTCATTTCTGGCTTTTGACATATCATCGTCTTGTATACAACTACATACGTATACTCTGCTGGTATATATTGTGTAATGGATTCCGCAGTTTGTGTATGTTGCTGTTTTGGCCTGTGGGCGTCTCTCAATTGTGTCTCTCATCTTGTCTTTCAGTCAACGAAACAATCAGTTCTATTTTAATGTCCAGTTCATTGACCTTATTTCTTTCAGATTGTACTATGTACCACGTTCTGCACTCCAGAAGAGTATGATTATCCTGAATTCACCTTGAAGCATCCAGTACGCGAAAAAAAAGGCTATCTTCAGGGCCTAATTGTAAATAAAGAAAAGATCAGACGTTCGCGAGAGGATTTGTTGTGGGTCCTTGACGGTGACTCTCAGGAAACAACCGAGTTCAGCATCACTTTATTTGATAATCGTGGCTTCATCAAACGCTTTCGTAAATCCTGGCTTCCGCAGTGGAAATGGGTGGGGCCAGGAGATGGACAAGGGCGAGCAGAGGCGAGCAGGTTTATATCCTTGATGTGACCGTGAAAGCTCCAGTACGTTTACAACTCCTCCGGTCATGATATAACCTCATGTTCTCCAGTTCCGTGGGCAAGGCCTTGGCTCAAAATTGCTTCAGAGTCTCCTCACTAGCGGAACCTACGTGAAACCAGACAGCTTGGTGTACTGTCTGCCGTATGAATGAGAATTTTCGCAAAGAAGATCTACACAAGGTCATCAGATTTTATTGTATGGTACGCACAAATGTTATCACATTTCAGAGCATATACTCACTCAATTGTTCAGAATCACTTTCATCGCATTGGTCACACTCGTCTTTCGCTTTCTCGCCAGATTCGAACCATCATTCTCGTCTTATCGCTGTAGATGGTGATGCTGAAACCGTCCATGACATGTTTCCATTCGACAGTGAACCAATGTCCCCAGAGCAATATAAGGCCGCGTACCCTCTTCATGCATATATTCGTGACACGAATGGGGAGCACATCGTCCAAGAAATTCAGGCGTTCTACGAAGTCGATGATTCTTCTCTTCACGTCGTGACAATCTTGGCTTCACTCCTATCTTCGTCGCAGCTCTTAAATCTGACACGAATGCTATTCGCAACTGCTTCTTTCGTTGGATGTATATGCTGGTTTGCACGACCGCGACAACAAGCTTGGTCTCACTCCATTGGAAGCGCTACAGAAGCACACTTCACAAAACTTCTCTCAGATGATCTCTCAAGTCATGCCTGGGAATACTTTAGAACGCTCTCAGGTTGCGTTGAAAGAGGAATATGTTACGGAATATTCACTCAAACAGGCAATGGGTGATCAGGATGTCGCGGGTTGGCAGTCCCTCGATCAATACATCCAAATCCGCGAATATGGCTGTACGTGTGGCTCCTGCGAAGAAGGATGGTTGTCACCTCGCATGAAATTTTGTTTGCAAGGTAACCCGCTCAAATTATCCTTAGTAGAATGCGACGGAATTAACACTTTTCTTCTAGCTACGGCAGAACTATATGGCGATATGATTGAAGACGCTGCTGTGGGTTTTACCCCCCGCAAGCCCATTCGCATCGAAGACTCGACCTTTCTTGTTTCGTCACAATTTGCCACTTATTCCTCCCTCGCTTTTTCCAATTTATCAATTCTTCTTTCGGGGCTATGGTGCTATCTTCTCTCTTACGGGTCGTTCACTTGCCGGTGAGACCACAGGTCTGGATGGAGTCGTTTCCGATAGCGGCTTCTCCCTAGCCACAGTTAACGCAATTACCAGAGCCAATATGTTCAAACTTGACTTCCCTTCGTCGTCTTTCGGATCACCAGTACCGTTCTACCTTGAAAAAGGAGGACGCATAGATTATGTCTTAGATGCTTTCACTCGCAATGCAGAAGACAGAATAAACGATGGCGATATTGACGAAAGTTACGAACACGAAAAACATTGGATTAACCTGGTCAAATACGCCAATGACGAGAAATTTTCTCTGGTCAGGGAAAAAATAGGCTTGGACCCGAGCAAACGTTGGGGACCGTACTTCGATTGTTGCCGCGAAGACGACATTGATTCCGAGGACGGTGGGTCCTTGGATTTTCTTCCTTGAAAAGAAGTAGAAGTGAACTGCCCCACATGTAGGGGAATTTGAGAAAGCAACATCCTTGTAATTCACTTGTACTACTGTGTACGATTTCAGTCTAAATTGTGTCAAAAGCCTCATTTATCTATTCCCACCGCTTACTACCTAGGCTGAGCGGGTACAGATCTTTCACGGAAGACTAGAACAATTTCTTGGAACAAGGAACAAATTTCATGTGTGAGTAAATCGGTCCCTTTTCAAAAATCTCATTTGGAGCGTGGCCCTGTTTACGAGCTCAATTTCGTTGGACCCAAATTGCTTTGTTCCTTTCTGAACTTCCTCAAGTTATCCTGGAGAGACATTGTTATGGAGTTTTTATGTATTGTTTTTGCATACAACAGAGTGACATTTCATTCAAAGAATGAGGATTATCGGATTATCACTCCGTGGAAAGTCCGGCTCCCTTCCTGAGCATCTTGGAAACGTCGGCGGCTACATTTGAGTTGTCCACAGGAGGAATTGGAGTGAGTGCATGTTCTCTCCCGCGAGCCTACGTAGGATATCATTCAACAGAACCAAGCTCAAAAATTTTATCCTCACCATCACAAAGCGGGGATTTAAAAAAGACTCAACGCTTTCTAAAGGGTTCCCAGCAAAAGCGACGATGTCGGCGGACATTCCAGGGAGAAGTTTTCCTGTTACAGAAGCCAAGCCACATACTTCGCTGGCCTTTTCAGTTGCAGATGCGATGACTTCCCGCAAAGTGAAGCCAGCCTCGACGAGGACGGAGAGTCCATCGGCATATCTTTCGAATGGGCAAGCGACTGAAAATGGGAATTAGTGTATGATATTCATATCTCGAACGGCTTCCTCAAGGGGAAACATCGTACTTACCAATACCATTATCCGTGCCAACGACTATTTGAACGCCGTGTTCTCGCAAGCTGGTTAGGTTTTTCAAAACAGTTTCCCGAGTATCCCAAGGACAGAAATAGTCCTTCTCCATGCAGGCGGTATTCATTGTCGGACATACAGCGACATTTTGTGCAACCAGTTTTTTGGCAATCTCTTCATCGAATTTTGTTCCGCCCTCTGCGCAAGAAATTTTTAGGAGCGACCACGACAATATCGATGTCAAATCATTACCTACACTCCATGAACAATGTTCAATACAGTCAAACCCTGCGTCAATCGCTCGTTCAATGCCTTCTACACCCGTTGCATGGGTTGTGACAGGAATCCCATGGGCATGAGCTACCTCCGCAATAACACAAAGCTCTTCAATGGAGTAACGCGCTCTTGCGGGTGAGCTACCTGGTGTAAGGAATCCTCCTGAAACCATCATTCATATGTCAGATACTGAAGGGACAAATATACGGCCAAAGGACGGCCGATCAGAGGTCCCAAAACGCTGAACACAAAAGAAAAGCGAGATCCAATAGTACTCACCCGTGGTCATGACCTTGATCACGTCGACTCCCTGCCAGATCCCGGGGTATGAAACACATCCGTTTAGAAACACAAAATAACCAGGCCGCTTACCTCCTGAGCTCTTTTTTGAGCTTCTGCTTTACACTCATCGATACCAGTAGCAATACCACCCCAGGTGCATGCGTGTCCTCCGGGGACAGTGATGGGAGCGTTTGCTGACAAAATACTGGTGCAGATGTCAGTGGAGAAAAAACAGCTGGTTTAATAAAGGTATAATTAGCACATGTACATACCGAGGTCCTTGAACTAAGCCCGCATTCACTCGCTCTCTCAATTCGGTGGAGAGTGTACGAATGCACCCCAAGTCCCTTACAGTAGTAACGCCAGCGTCTAGCACTCGCATACAGTTCTTCTCCATCCTAGGGATCAATTCTGAGTCCAGAAGTGGGGTAGCCTCTGTGGTCTGGAATGAAGATGGGTCCATGAAAAGATGAACATGACAATCGAAGAGACCAGGCATCAAAGTCACATCTCCAAGGTCTAGGATTTTCGTAATTTCAGGCAACGTAGGTTGAATCTCATACCAGGGCCCCGACGAAACTATAATTCCGCCTTCTACAAAGACTGCACCGTCTTGTATGATTTCGGAAGCGCTTGATATGAGAAGACGAGCAGCGCGAAGACAGGTAGCCATGATGAAGAATGAGGAACTATGTTTTGCCTTGAGTCGTAGTTGTATGTTTCGGGGGAGGTATGTTCGGTATTTTTCAATTGTGATAATTTTGTGAGGATGCTTATAGACAATGAAGAGATCTTGAGTACCTTTGTCTGCTGAGAGTTCTGTTGCATCTTTAAGGAAGAGGCATTTGCGGTATTCATTCAATGAATGGTGAATTTCTTCGTGAAAAAATTGATAACGTTGAACTTTTACTCGACAACGTATACCGTGTGCAATGCAAGACGATCAAGATCCCCGTCGCGACCAATACATGGTCATGATATATGCATGCAGTCTCTAACGCTCAGCATGCGGTTTCTTCAAGAAACCGAAGCTCTTCAAACTTCCGCCACATAGTCAACACGCTCAGGGAAGCAAGAATACGAGCAGCTCTGATTCTGATTCCAATCCGATAACAGAATTGCCAATCCGAGTCATCCATGAGTCACAGCGCAGCGGAAAGGTTTCGACGCTTACTATGTATGTACAAGCAGTTGACGGAGGACAATCGACTTCAAGGGGGAATCAAGGCGGAAAGTTCTGTTCAATTAGGCCCTAAGAAAGGGAATCGTGGTTTCAAAAATTTACCTTGAAAGCTCCTTTTTCTGAGATATTGGGTAAGTGCTCCGATGATGTTGAGTCGCGGAGGTTCACGGGTTCAGCCGTATTCGAAGTCGTTCTCCCTGGCATCCGGTCATCATCGTGGTCTTGGAAAACACGGCCTTCCAACCTTATTCAAGACGGGAAGATACGGTCGATAGAGTGCAGAAGACGACTTACAGTGATTTGTATAGTTTATCAGCCGAATCCAGACATACGTGCTGGCACATGGTACATGGGTATATATCTGTTCGTCAAGAACAACTTGAATCGACATATCTTCTGCTTGGGTTCGATATCGGGATGGATCGGGACTCATAGTGGATCATCCATCTGTACATGTTCGCCGAACTTGTGGCCCTCAAACCTAGGAAGAGCGAATGCATATCCCTAACCCCCTGAACCATTCTCAGGCCCTGAGATAATCCGGTACACAGTCACAGTCTGTACTCAGGAGCCAAACTACGTAAGCTTAAGTTGCATAACTCTGCGCAATTACATGGGCGATTACTGATATCGATTCTGAAGACCTTGTTACCAATCCTTTGGCGCGTGCGGCTTTTTAATTCACACACTCCTACCCTCTTCTTTTCTGGGGTCGCACGCTTTACAAGTCACACTTACCACAACTCACGTTCGATGTCTAACTTACGAGAAGAAATGACCGCATATCGATGGTTTCCTGGGGCGCAGACGTTGACTAAAGCTGGAATATCAGTCCCCGAACCTGCAGCCGATGAAGGTCGGGTATTTCATGAAGAATTCCTTCGTGGTTCACGGTGGAAAAGCTGACTGTGGTGACAGTGTTAGTGAAGATTCTGGCTGCAGGAATGTGCCACTCTGATATGCTATATTACGACAATTCATTTGAACACACCAAGACAAAACCGTGAGCGTAGCTCCCTACCTGGGGACTGGTATACTGACAAGATTGGCCGTTCAGATTCACTATGGGCCATGAAGGTATGCCTAGCCATTTACATCAGGCCCTCATATCGATGTCGGTGCTCAGGCGCGGGCGAAATAATCGCTCTCGGTGAATCCGTACTGTCTACATATGCAGACCTTCATTTGAATCAATACGTCGTCATCCATGCCCGGAATCCGTGCCTCCTGTCCAGTTGTCCGGTTTGCTCTATCGATGCGGACAATCTCTGCGCACGATATTTTCCTTGTGGTCTTGGTATCGACGGCTCTTACGCTCCGTATATGGTTGTACGTGCTAGAGCTATTGTTCCGGTCAACGCTACGAAGGATGAAATCCCACCACCGTTGGCAGCAGTTTCTACAGATGCAGTGTTAACGAGCTATCATGCGATGAAGGATCTGAGAGCAGGGGAGACAGTTTTAGTTATGGGGGTTGGGGGATTGGGCATCAACGCAGTTCAGATTGCCAAAGTTCGTACTCATCATTTTTTTTGCTCGGTGATATTGCTAATATTCGTGATGGTTGTAGAATCTTAAGAGAGCACAAACCGTGATTGCAGTAGATCTGCGCGATGAGATGCTTCAGGAAGCCCTTGAAGTTGGTGCAGACTATGCTGTGAAGCCCGAAGACCTAGGGCCCTTGCTATACAGCCACAACCTCAACGTTGACACTGCATACGACTTCGTTGGTATAGGGCCTACGTTTAAATCAGTTCTTGAGCATATTCGTCCTCGAGGTACTATTATTATTGTTGGTCTTGGTGCAACTTGCCTCGAACTGCCGCTGGTTCCTGTAACTAGGAAAGAGGTGACAATTAAGACAAGCATGTGGGGAACTAAGAAGGAACTAGAGGAGGTTTTAGCTATTTTGAAGGATAAAAAGGTCCGGCCTGTGATTGAGACGAGGCCTTTGGTACAGGCTTTGGAAGCATTTGAGGACTTGAGAAACTCAAAGTTGAAGGGTCGAGTGGTACTGGTACCATAAATACATGTCAAAAAATTCCTTCTAGCCGACTTGAACGACTGACCTCGTCATTTATTGCACACTACTAGTGACGCGCTCTACCAACTGAGCTAAGAAGGACTGGCTGTATACAAAATTTAGAATTCGAGTACGTTTGAGATCCTGACACTGACTGCACAGATCAAGATTTGTGGAATTCCCTTCAAACTCACCGAATCGAGACCGCATTTTACTTCCTTAAAAGTCAGAATTTCACTGTATTACGCGTTATCGTGGTATCGAAGTTGCTCTTTGAACAGCGCGGCGTTGAGGTATTATAGCTATTCGATGCGAAATATTTTGGTGCTAAAAATACCTGCCCTTTATCTACTACAGTAGTACTCCTGTCAGGACTGGTATGTACATTGTACAAGCTTGATTCTGAACTCACTACTCCGATTTCTGTCAAGTCTGGCAAAATTCCCTCAGCGAAACCGTTATGGCACATCTACAGCTATTGTCAGCGAGTGTCAGCTATTGTCCCGACCATCGTCCACACCTAGCGCAGGACTTATGGCGGATATCTCTCAGCTTCTCAGGACTTCTTTGGATAGAGCCTGCGACCTCGGAACTGATGGGCCCGGAGCATCAGGCCCAGGGCTTAAACCAGCTTAAACCGTCCATACTCTGATTTGTGCTTCTTTACCTGAATTTTCATATCAGTGAGGAAACGCCACTCATTACACTAAGCCGTCGATTCTTCTCGAACGCCCTCATCACTTTGATTTCTACGTCTGGGATAAAAAGGTGTTTCTACTCTTTTCCTACCTCACGTTTCATGCCCTTAGGATGTTATACAACAGTTCTTTACCTGTTCAAGAGATAACGCCTGAAATGTTGAACGGACACGAGCTCAATGATGAAGTGGCACCCATTCCCACTATGTTGCCTTCCTCAACTCAGAGTTTGAGTACACCTCTACCAGTTTTGCCCATGTCGGTTCTCTCGATCGTACGCTTAGACTCATATTAACTTGTACATTACATCACTGACCTGTTTCCGTTAGGCAATGCTTGGAGAGTTTCTCTCTTCCAACGTGTCAGTGCCATTCTTGCTCTTCATGGTGAAAGGTATTTCTTTTCACTTCAACCTGTGATTATTTCCCGCCAATGCTCTTCTTGTAGGCTTTGGGTTCTCTGATGAAGCAGAAGCAGCATTCTGGACAGGGGTCTTGGGTAAATCTTCACTACCTTATCATTCTTGCCAATTCTAATGTTAGCAAGAATAGTCTCAATGTTCTTTCTTAGTCAATTCCTGACCTCCTTGCTTTGGGTAGGTTATACTTTATTTCTGACCAAATTGCGCTGATCGTATGACCCTTTTGTCGATGCATACAGGCAACACTCGCTGAGAGATATGGTCGCCGATTCGTGCTGGTGGTCACGCTGTTCGGAAGTGCAGTATCTGTGACTGCCTTTGGGCTATCCAAAAACATAGGGCAAGCAATATGCATTCGTCTTGTGCAAGGGATTTTCGCTGGTGCAGTCGGGGTGGCAAGAGGTTCTGTGGTCTTCATTACCGATAGTTCGAATGAAGGTAGAGCATACGCTATTCTTGGGTATAACATTCCCGCTATGCTTCCTCGGAACCGATAACTCAGTTGTTGTCACCGTAGCTTTTTCTGGGGATTCGGGGGACTTCTCGGCCCAATTATTGGAGGTTCATGTAAGTTGTGATAAAGGTTCTTTTTAAAGCAGTATTGCATTGCTGACCACTTATCAGTCGAGCGTCCAGCTGAGAGGTGGCAAGTATTTCAGCACTGGAAAATCTTAGACGACTTTCCATACCTTCTCCCCTCTTTAATCGCAGGGTCAATACTTTTTGCGGGTATGCAGTGCACTCATTATCAACCTTGATGAGTTTCCTTATCTTCAAGTGCCTAGGATCATTTCTTGCCTGCTTTCTCGGCCGCGATGGTACAACAACTTCAGTCCAGCCTCATCTGGAAAAAATAGAGATTCATTCCCCAAACTCTGATTTCGAGGTACAAAACATACTGTCAACGACGCAAAGTTCGACTAGAACAGTTCAACGACGCGAGTCGTCAATACATCCATTGACAGCGAACGGGCCGGAATCCTGGGTACAAGACCACTCTCTTCATTCCACCTCCTCCGGAATCCCAATGGGCCCTCGAACAATAACGATGTCAAGTTCGAGGTCCAATGCCATGGCAAGAAGCCATTATTCCACGTTCGATCGGACTTCTGGATATCGACAGACAGTGCCTTTGTCATTCTACCCAGGCCTGAGTGGGAGTATACCCGCTTCTAGATTCTATCACGATGACAATGATGAACCGGACAGCCGTAGTGTTGTGGAAAGGGTAGTGCTGGCGAACGAGAATGCCATCAACAGCATCGCAGATCTTTGGGTCGCCGCTGCCTTGAATGTCGAAGGGAATGACGACGATGGTACTCATATAGACACGAGCCACAACATCTTTGAATTCGAGGATGGATTTCATGTTGATGTTCACAGCCACAGAGGACGCAGTGATCATCCCTCACATCTTTATTCTACAACTAAATCTCCCTCCCGGCGTCGGTCATCTCGTCGTCCCTCAACTACGAGGCCTATGGATGCTTCTCTTAGTGTTTATCAATCAGCTGGTGGTACATCCACTCCTCGACAATTCCCATCAATTTTCACGAACTCTGGGGTGAGTACGCCTCACGATGTATTCGAAAACCCCGCCTGTAACTCAGAAACTGATCTCACGACTAATCTTGAACGGGAATTACCTCCCATTCTTGAATCAAGGCAACCTTCCGCCATGCATCTCAATGAAGGGGAGACCGCTGCACTTCTAGATGCGGGGATATCTTCTCCATCTGCACCACTCCCATGGCTTGTTATCACTCAATTTGGATTACTTGCATTGCACACGACAACACACGATCAAATTTTCATGTCTTATTTGGTTAGGTGAATGGATTTCCCTCTAATTCCAGCTCATTCTAAAGCTTCCTGACAGCGATTACGATGCAGGCGGACTTGGTCTCAATGCAAGCGATTTTGCGCAATTGAGTACGTTTTCGCGATATGCAAGACGTCTACTATTATATTCATTTTTTGTTTTCAATAGTTGGGTTGATGGGGTTCGCTCAGATCATCTACCAGTTCTATTTGTATCCGTGAGTTTTCTGTTCTGCTCATTAGACAAGTTGTTCAGGATGTAGGTGGTCTATTCAGAAACGTGGGGTATGTATTTCCTTTCTTCTCTTGTTCTAACGTTTACATACATCATCAGCCCTCCAAGAGGTCAACTTTCTCATTTGACCATGTATCGACTAGGCACGATACTTTTTGTACCGGCATATTTAACGGTCGTGTTATATCGAGCACCGTTTGGATACCCGGATGATCACAAGAAATCGGTACTTATGACTGGTGAGACTTAGTCCGATATCTGCTCTCAGCTTGAATGATGATGTTCGAAAATATAGTTCTCGCACTCAGCACGTATGTACTGTGTGCTCATTTTCTCTGTGAACGTTTTGAATGATACCCCGAAGAGCTATCCGTTACTGTGGAATGACCTTTGCGTTCACTTCGATATCCGTCCTTCTGAATTGCTGTTCGTTTCACTCCAATTTCAGATACTTGATGCGATATTAACTTACTTCGTACCAATAGTGACCCGGCCAGAAGCTGTTGGGTATGCTAATGGTCTCGCACAAACCATTGTAAGCTTAGCACGATGTTTGGGACCCGTGTTAGGTGGCTGGGTACGCTCTCGGTTCTTGAATTCATTGTATTACCTGCTCTGACTCACCGTGTATCCCAGATATGGTCTGTAAGTGTAGAAGGTCATCCCTCGGGGTATCCCTGCGGTTTTTTAGTGTGCACTGTTATGTGTATTATCACTGTGGTCATGACTGTTTTCATTTATTGAAAATACCTGATTTCTTTGCGAATGTCCACTGGCATGTCCATTTACTGCTAGCTTTAAACATACCCGCTTCATTCACTTGTCCAATTTCCTAGGATTGGGGCCTCTATCCACCTTCAAGTTCTTTCTGTCAGATCTGCGACATAGGTTGTAAAAAACTTATTTGGGATTGATCCTGACAGCTTTGACTTTGAAACTGAAACTGGATCCACGAGGTGAATTATTGGCTCACAGTGGATGCTTATTGGCAGAACACCTCATAAGTCCCCGAAGAACATTCTGAACTAGCCTCGAGATGATCATCGGCGCTCATTGACAAAACCGAACAGATGGATGTCATGAAGGTACAGATAATCAAATTGTGGTTCTCCCAATGGAAAATGTACATAATGATTGTGCTTGGCAAAGTGGAGGTGAAGCTTCATTAGAGGTGTGCGCAATGAAGGATCTGTACGAAGCAAGGACTGAGCCGTCCTTCATGAAAGGCAATGCATTCAAAGGGAAGAGTGATAGACCTAGGATGTCGAAGTGACCGCTAAAGAAATTTGGACAGGGGTAAGAAATTGTCCCCTTGACATTGAGCTATATTGAGCCCTCGTATCAGAGTCCGCTAGTAGCTCTGCATCCCAGTTCCACTTCAAAGAAAGCCTAGACCATATAATAAGCCTAGACACTCATAGATAGTGTGTACGTCCGCAACCGGGCGTATAAGCTACGGATGACCATTGCAGGCTTGCTCCGGAGCGTTTCCGGGGCTTCCACGAGCAAACCGTAACGGTATTCGGGGTTAACCATTCTCAGGCTGAATTAATTCATATCGCTGCAATCTTCAAAGATGCCACGATGCCGCAACACCCCGCCAGGAAATTTTCGCACAGAGAGAGCAAGGACTAAATTTGGGCAGCATATTCTCGCAGACGCTCCCGCTGGGTAGTTATTGACGAGACTCTAGAAGGTGAATTTTTACTTGAAAGTCTGATATTGCGATGAACCTTTCGGAAGATGGTGTATTCCAGTAATATCATGGTCAGCGATGAAAGAAATTTTCCCCACAAGTGGAACAGTGCTGCATAATTGGCCTGACTCTTGAAGCTTATGTAGTGGCAAAAGCAGAAGGTAAGCGCCTGAGCGCTTAATAATAATAGTGAAAAGGCGCCTGTTCACATCATCGGACCTGACTTTTGTTCTTCAAGTCTGTTTTTTTGAACTATAATGTTCAAGGAATCTGTTTACTGTATTCATTGATAATGATGTAGCCATCATTGCATTTGCTGTTTACAAACGCAGCACCGTACGCTCACGGGACTCCGGCCGCCACAATCTATCGACTGCGCAAGTTCAGGAATCCGAAGAATCAGAATGCAAGAAAGCTTCATAAATAAGACGTTCTGTTCCCTATCAGCCCTTCTGTGATCCGGATGTTATTGTTGTCTACTATCGTTCAAGCTGTTGTCCTCAGTGGCCTGGCCACCGGTACGTCAATCCTGCGTTGCTAAATATTTCAGGTCGTTTAATTTTTTGTTCCAACAGGTCATCCTAACCACGAACCAATATCCGCCAGAGAGCTTGTTGCCCGAAATGTATGTTCTACCTGATCCCACTTTGGATTCTGTGAAGGCTCATCTACATCTTCTAGGAAGCTGCCTCCAAACACCACCTTGTGGCTCGCAATTGTGCAGACAGTATTGCGTCTTATAATCTCAGGCAAAAGGTCAAGCGAGGCTTCAACATGCAGATGATCCTTGACCCAGTGGGCTTTGAGAAGTAGGTTGTGTTTTCATCCATTTCTTCGAGTATTCTCATTTCACCCAAGTTCCACTTGCGTTTTGTCCCCTGAAGCAGTGGAAGGGCCTTACTACATCAACAACGAGATGATCCGAACCAACCTTACTGAAGACCAGCTGTGCGTCGTGAATGTTTACTTTAGTTTCTTTATCTTCATACCCCTAATTTAATCTTAGTGGTATTCCTATGACTCTTGACATAGCAGTTATCGATGTCACAACATGTAAACCAATGGAGAACATTATTGTTGAAATTTGGGCTGGTATGATTGTCGTTCGTCGCTTGTTTGAATCTCATATTGATTACATTTACCAGCCAATGCTACCGGGATATATAGTGGCTACAGCGCCATGATTGGAGGTATGCCACCTGGTGGTGGAGGAAACGGACATCGAGGACCGCCTCACAAGGACAGCCATCGTCATTACCACGAGCTTGAAGGCGAGGATGTAAGTCATCGATCAGAGCAAGATCAGCATCTTTCGAACAACGACCATACCGTTCATATGCACAAGGACCATAAACCAGGACATAGTGGGCCGGGAGGTCCAGGAGGTCCCCCTGCTCAACCATTATCCCGGAACGAAACATTTCTTCGCAGTGGAGCTCCTACTTCAGCAGATGGACTTGTCGAGCTCGTCACAATCTATCCCGGTTTCTATGCTGGCCGGACAGCTCATATCCACACTATGATCCATATGAACTGGGAGAGATCCGAAAATGGGTACATTTCTATCGCTTTTCTCTGATTGTTTCACACTGAACACACACTCAAAAAGAACCTTCGTTTCAACCTCTGGAAATCTTCTTCATGTCGGGCAGTTCTTCTTCAAAGAAAGATGGAATGCGAGGTCTACGCGACATCGCCTTACACTGAGAATACCAACAAGCGGACATACAACGATCAAGATGGGCAGATGAACGACTCGGAGGATCCTAATGGGAACAGCGCTATAGTTGACATCTCTTTTGCTGGAGAAGACCTCACCAAAGGATTGGTTGGGCTCATCAGTGAGTACCTCTTTACTCGGACTCACATGTACGGTCAACTGATGCTAATTTTGTAGCTGTCGGTGTGGACCCCCATGCTTCATATCATATCACAAACAAAAATTACTTGAATTCAACCAGTTCCTCTGAATGATCTCTTATTACATACGATGCAGAGCTTCAGCCTTCATTCTTCATTAGGTTTTTGGAAAGTACATTCATCTATATAAAGCAAAAAAAGCACCAAGTAATGTATGCAAATGTACTATAAAATATGCACGAGACAGGGTATGTGATCAATCCTAAAGCTCCAAAATTCTTAAAGCATAACGTTCACTAGTGACTGTAACACAATTGCAATGACCAACGGATGTACAGCCAAGGAATGGGATCTGGGAAAAAAGAATTCAGGATGGAACGTGTGTGGCCAGGATAAATACCGACTAGATCACATACAAGTACAGTACATGGAGAAATCAACGGCGCGTCTGACTTTATCAGGGCCAGGGAAACGTTGACACATGTCGATAGATCAGGGGAAAATGCACTGGTATTCCTACAATGCCAAATGACACTAGTCTCCAGAGAGCATCGAGTGAAGCTTTCGACTTCCTTGCCGGTGAGAATACGGGGCAACATCGCGGTTTGTTGAAGAAATGAAGAGTCCCTAACCGGGCGTCACAGACCAGGAATCGACACAAATTCAATAAAAAGAATGGAAATGATTGCAAAGGATTGCAATTTGGTTCGACACAGAAAACGACCTCGACATCGAGCAGATATTTCTGGGACAAATAACTTGGGCAACGTCGATACATTTAACCACCTTCGAAGCCTCTGATATCGCTTGATCCCTTTCTACTTTCTCTAGAGTTTCGGCAGACGGTAAGGTTTAAGTTTCCTTTTTGTGTATGCCTGTGTATGTTCCTCCACGCATTATGGATTGTGAGAGCCAGAAACTGGCGTATGCATGATGTTTGTCGACGGGACGAGGAAGGAGTGAACAACCCCGTCAGAGGAACCTGGCAATATGGTAGATAAGCATCAATATTTGTAGAAGCAAGCTAATCGGAGCACCCAGTGTGCTATGTAGCTCGAAGCAGTATGGAACAAAAACGTTCAACAACAGCGTTCAACAAATGACAGTCATTATCACATTGTATTTTCTAAAGGCGACGAATTTCAGGGATGTTCTGTCCAGCTTTTGATTGTATGCGGAATGTAAAGTAGAGGTGAGATGAGAACTGGAAAGTTCAAACGCGTGCATCCTCTAATCACCTTGCTTGCAAGGTCTATTCCACCCCGGAATTGTACAGTTTTGATGTGCAGGCACATTTTGTGTTTGTCTGCCCCGCTTTGTACTTGTTTGTTTCGGCCCGCTTTTCACCCACTGCTCATGTCTGTACATACACCAAATATGTTGTTCCCTTTGACAACTTATGTACTTAGATACCGAATATTCTATCTCTTCAATGATACTCTTAGACCACTGTCCCCTATAAACTCTGTCTTTTGCCTACATCCAATCTCCATTAACTCTTCCCACCAGGTGATCTATTCTCTTGTCAGTTTGGAATGAACCATTTTCAAATGTTACTTACACAGTGTCCTTGTTTCTTGATACTTCATTGGTCATCTGGGGGCATCAACGAACACCCATCATTAGTCCAACATGTCTATACCACAACACTCTTACACATGCCTCCATACTCTTCACCTCTTCTAACATGTTTTGAGATTCCTTCAGTTCAACAACAATCTGCCACTGCAGACAGAGCTGTCCTTCATATGATGCCCCAAAATTCCACCATGCCTGTCATATGTTTTTCTTAGTACCTTGTACCTTTACATCTTAACTAACTCAATGTTCGCACTGTCATAAAGTATGCAGCCCCTATTATTTTCCTTTTCTCACCCTCTCGACACCTTTACTTGTACATCATCCCATCACAATCACATTTCATCACTGTCAATCCCCCATTGATTACTGATCCACCTGACTCACTTTCTCCTTCTACTGGCAAAGATGGTGTTATGCCTCTCATTATTGTTGTATTCCCATCCTATAAGTGTTTCTGGATCCCCTCCCGAATGGTCTGTTTCTGTATGTCAGCTTCATTCTTGATTCTCTCAACCGTAACTTACAAACACTCCCAGTTCCTTGATATCCACCCACCCCACGTGGTGCATCAATGAACATTATAAATAACACCACTCGTCTTTTGTACATTTGCCCCACACAGTCCTTTATCTTCTCAATCTCTGCTTGCAATTGATGCTTCTCACCCACTTTCACTTGCAAATTCCATTGAATCCACAATACCCCACTGCTTGTTGTAAAGTAGCTCCACACTACCTTCTCCATTTTGTCAGCAACTTCCTCCAAATTTAACTACACACTTACTGTCTCAACTTTTGTGTACTTCCACTGAAGAGCCGCCAAAAAATGTACTGCACTCTCGCCATCTTTTGCATGTGGGCCATCCAGGTCTCCCGGTCAAATATATTTTGTTTCTGAAATTTATGCAGGAGCCAATGTCCTCGTATCTTCACCTTGTGTCATTCTTGCATTCTCATTCGTGTAATGCATTTCACCACCATCATCACTCATCCCAACATGGACCATATGAGGAGCAACTGTATCTTCATTGCACTGCTCCTGTCATGTATTGCTGTCAAATTCCATGGAATGTGGCCCGTCCAATCCCGGTACAATATATTCTGTCTCTGCGTTTGACGCTGCAGCTGTTTCACCACCACCATTCCCCATGCCAACATGGAGCATATGAGGGGCAACTGTACCTTCACCGCAATGCTCCTGTGGTGTTTTTTTGCTGTCCAATTCAATGCAAAAATTATGAAAATACCCCCCTACGCCATCCGTACTGCCACATCCGTTGTTGTACTTTTGATGAAAACATTTAGCTGCCCACGTACCTTTACACAGAGCAGTATGTTCAATGTTTGTGTTTCTGTCGAAGGAGACTTACTCTTATCCATGGCATTATAGGCTAGGATATTGAACTTGGTGTGACGGAGTTTGCATCATCTGCAAAATCCCAGGTTGATCTGCATACTGCGCATCAATGCTTATGATTTACATGTTGAACAGGCATTCAATGGCTTACATGACATTTGCCCGTCTTTGCGTGAAATTCAGTTCCATGATCGGAAATGGGTATTTGGCAGTGGAAGTTGGACCAAAACATACTCGTAACACAATAGGTATAAATATCAGCTAGTAAAATGAAGTGCAATTGAGACCAACGGAAAAGACAATGAAGGTCACATCAAATAATGTATCGTTACGGGATGTGACCTGATGCGTAATGACAGGTCCCCTTTAGGGACTGCACTGCATCACCCGTCGGATCCACGCGCTCCGGACAACGAGCGGGCAATCGACGGCGGCGGAAGCAAAAACGACTCGTTGCTTCCGTCTCCTCCTCCTCCAGTTCAGCGAGAGTACCTTGCCAAATGTACATGGCAGCCGATGTAATAGCACAAACAAGAAAGAACATAATAAGAAGGATGAATAAAATGGAAACTCACCCTTGACAACATTGAGGTTCCATGATCCCTATTGCGTGAGGGTATATGTATCTAAATGGTATTTATCAGGTCAGTCAGAAATAGGATAGGACGAAGCAGGAATTGAAGAGCTGGTGAGGACTGAGGCTGAGTGAGAGGTGAGGAGAGAGTGAGGAGAGGAGACGGAGATCTGCAGTTCCGAGGATGTGGGTACATACTATATAATCATCATATTCAAGTACTGTATGGTGCATACATTGCCGTATCTATTGCATGCATCATGGCATCCAGGTCTCTATTTATTTAGACTGACTTCATCTCAATCTTGAGTGCAGCTGCATGGTACTTGGTGGGTGGAAGAAGTTGAGATATGAACTTAGCTTGTTATAAGGTAGAGTATCAGTCTGCGAGTATAAATTCAAGATCAGTGAGTGGTTTTTTTTGTTCAATCGTACAATTGAATGCTGATACGCGGCGGAGATGTGCTATAATATTGTTCTTAGACGTTTGGTAAAGTAACGTCAAGCTAACGTCAAGTCACTGCATTGTCTTTACAGCTAATAGTGGTATCGTCTTTTGAATGCTAGATCCTGTCTTTTCAGCTTTTCTTCCCTGCTTCAAAAATCACGAAGTTTAGTGGACACATTAAAAAGACCATGCAGAGGTCAGGGAGATTACTGGTAACATCACTCATCTCATTTAATCTCCATTCCTTGAAAAGGTGTCTCGGAACTTATGTGTTCAGATCGCAATGATAGAATTACAAACACGTTTGAGAGACTAGTTACAATCATGTATATACAAGGTCATCGAGCTCTTCATCTTCACTATCAGAAAGCTCAATGACGCCCAAATATTTAATGCCCAACTGGCTATACTTGCTACTCTCATCTGTTACAAAGGCTGGAGTATGCTTGCGTTTGCGTGTGCTGATGGACACCTGTGATTGCGATTGCGAACCTAGGCAGAATCAGGTTGGTTGTTTGAAGGAGACGAGAGAGATTTGGGTGCTCACTTGATGCTTCATTACTCACGCCCAGATCATTTCGGTGTTGGATCCGAGCAGATATGTCAGAATTTGGACGTGAACCTACAAAATTCAAGGGTAAACGGAGGATTGATGTACAAAAAGAATGTACTAACCGAGTAATTCACTCAAACGATCAACTTTCCCTGTTTGATTCGTAGCCACTGCGAGCATGGGAACCGGAACATCGATTCTGCGGGTAGATTGAACAGTTGAGAGAGGGAGACCTGTAAGCTGAATGAAAAAGGCAGTATCAAAAGTGATGGGAATGCTCTCATCGACATGCTTTGCTTGGAGATTCAACGCCTTGTGGTTCATGACAGTAGTCGATAGAGTAGGCATATAGTAGTTTCCCATCCTGTTCGTCTCAGGTTGACTCTGCAAGCGGGGAACTAGGAATTCCGCCTTCTGTGTATTATAACCTATATATTTCTGAAAAAAAAATTCGTTAGCATTGTATGTGAAGACAATTTGATTATACATACCGAGGAAAGCATTCGGATCACAATACCAGGCCAGAGATGAGTGTGAAAACACTTCAGGGCAAGCATCGGAGACCAGGCAAAGTGCTCAGCACAAAATTCGGAAATTCCGGTGACATCAGGGAGCATGGGTAGGCTTAGAGAGACCGGGGCAGGATTGAGCCCAGGTGAAGAACTTGTCAATGGCTTTAGAAATGCGTTCATGACGTTGACGTCGTCAAGGGTAGGAAATTGAGAGTCCCGGAGGATATCCGCCCGGAAAGGACTACACGAACCCATTTTACCTTGTTCATTATATTGAACTTCATATGCCATATTGCTATTGAGTTTGCGGAATGCTTCAGAGAGCTGTTGCAGCGAGTTTAGAAACAACTGGTAGGCGTTGAGAAGATCATCCCCAAATCCACTCTGAGCAAGGCCGCGAGCAGTTTGGTGGCCTATGCCATCAACACCGCTACCAAAATCATTCCGAAGCAATAAAGCAATCAGAATGAAACCTCCCTGAGAGTAGCCTGTGGATTCAGCACGGTAAATGCATGCATCTAAATCTCCCCAGAAATTTCTCGGCTCCTTCCTACATAGAATTCAGGTCAGATATATATATGTGAATGCAAAGGAGCAGTTGTTACGGTACGATGAGTTTCATTATAGATCCAACACCAAGGGGAAAGACATCGCTGTCTTTAGAGAGCACAATATCAATGATACCCCGTTTATACATATCTGAAAGCTCTGCTTCTGCTTCACCTGGAGCCTGTGTTTGTGAGGTAAGCATTATTCGCGTAGACTGGATAGAAACATTTACTGTGTGGCTATAGTAGCCGAAATACTTTATCAACTTTCTCGAATGTGTGTAGTAGTCTGATTCGCGTGCAACAACTCGAGTTCCTCGTTTGATAAGTGGGCGCCCATCACCGTCATAAACGAAGATGCAATGTGCACCGGCCTTTGATAAACCACACAGTAGCTTGAAGAATTGTGTAAGGGTCGAGTCTGATGTATGAAGGCGGCGATTGGCATGAGGACCCCTATCTGATGCACGGAAGCCATCCAAGAATGAACTTTGTAAGGGTGAGTTACAGGACCCCTGATTATACCCTATGATCCCATATGAAAATTCTGCCTGATCCTGAGGGATTTTGTCCGAACCAAAAGTAGAATTTTGGGAGGGACTTTTGTCCGAATTTCCCTCCGGCCATGGTATAAGCGCCCAAATTTTCCGACGCCAGCAGAGTGCAACTGGTCGTATATTTTGTTCATTGAATTTTCTTGTGCAATTTATGGTAAATTTTAGGGTGTTTTGTCCGAATTTTTCATTCTGGCTGCCGCCTATGGCGGTCTTTTGTCCGAATTTTCCTATGGCTATAGACCAAATTTGGGGGGGTGTCTTGTCCGAACCCCCGTCTGGGATCATAGTGTATAATCAGGGGTCCTTGAGTTACTAGAGTAAATGCATGGCTTTGGCGATGACATACCTAATGTCAACTCCAATAATAACTGTACGTGAACGGTGGTGGTCTTTGATAAAACCATGCTCCATAACAAAGTTCTTCAGCTTGCAAGTGAACCCAGCTTCATCTACTAACTGTTTGGGATATACAATGAGCTCAGAAAGGTCACAAGGGATGAACATGATAACTTACAGGCCAAAGATTCTAGATGCCCATTATGGTGAGTGCGAGGGTTAGAGGAGCATTGCAAACTCCTATTCATGAAGGGGTAAAAAACCGGCCCGCCGGCGAATGCATTGGGTGTTCCTACATAGGTAATGATATATAAAATATAAGTACAGTGTCTTCCTATGTAGAGCTAGATGTATGTGTAAATGTGAGTTAAAGAGGATGGGGGAGAGGCACAAGTGCCGAAAATGGTCCTTTGCTCTGATTGAGAGCGGAATCGGCTCGGGGTGGGCGTAGTCGCAGTGAAGGAAGATGGAGGGGAGGCACAAGCGCTGAAATCTTGAGCGCATTCGGCTGAGCGTGGGTGTAGTAACGGTGAAGGAAGATGGGGGAGAGGTACAAGTGCTGGAAACGGTTGTTTGCTCTTTTCGAGAGCGTGCCGAAACGGTCCTTTGCTCTGATTGAGAGCGGAATCGGCTCGGGGTGGGCGTAGTAGCAGTGAAGGAAGATGGAGGAGAGGCACAAGCGCTGAAATTTTGAGCGCATTCGGCTGAGCGTGGGCGTAGTAACGGTGAAGGAAGATGGGGGAGAGGTACAAGTGCTGGAAATGGTTGTTTGCTCTTTTTGAGAGCGGGTTCAGCTCGGCGTGCCCGTAGTAGTGGTGAGGGAAGATGGGGAAAGGCACAAGTGCCGAATGGCCCTTTGCTCTACCTGAGAGCGGATCCAGCACCTTGCACGACCCCACCGAACACAGCAGGAGGGCCAGAACAGGGACCTGTAATTCGGATGGTGCCCGTTCCCATACGAAGCTTAGCTTCGCACGCGAGTTTGTCTTCGGAAGCTACAGTCAGCCGATTCCGTTTCGCCCTTGAAGGAGCCGCCCGGTTGAACGGTTTTCAAGAGCCGGGGCTGAACGAACGGCTTCAATGTCCATCAGAATAATGCTTCCAGAAGCTCTGGAGCATCGAAGAACTTCGCGGACGAAGCCCTTCATGGGAACGGGGCTGGTGGTAACAGGAAGCAAATCGCATTGGGGGGAACTCGTGTGGCAAGATGGAGATGGCAATTGAATTTGAGCTGGTGGAGCTGTTGCGGGAACGGCGGCACAGGAGTTGGTAAGAAAAACTGGAGGGATGTCCTGAGGACACCATATTTCATGTAAAGATTTTATCACTTGATCTGACGACCTATCAGGCTGGGATAAAGTGATGGAAAAGAGTCTACGCACTAAATCTGTTCTTGTCGCGAGCTTAGGCGTCTCCAGGCAGCTGTGGTGTTGTTTATGGGCGTCATTTGGATGGCTCCGAATCGCATTACGGAAAAAGCGGATATTGGTGAAAAAGTCGCAGAAGAAAACGGAGGATTGAAGCTGAGGAAGGAGACAGAGCCAGCAGGGGAAATGGTGCTATAAGGTTCCCACTTAGCCCGAGTGTGAGATGCAGGAGCCAGGTGAGCATGAGAGCGAAGGGTTCACGAATGCTCTATGAGAAGAAAATCAACTGAAATATACATTTGAAAAAACCTGGGTCTACCTACTTGATCCTGGCTGGTTCTGGGCATGGGAAATTCTCAAAGCTTGCTTGGAGGTAGAGGTTTCATTGGGGCAGGTGAGAAAACATATAATTACAGGCAATGGAAGTGAAAGAAACGGAGCGCGCGCTTAAACGGAACCAATTGCACGACTGCCGTCACGCGTCTCTGTTGATTGCACTCTCCCCGCCACGTCCACCGCCAAGGGCTCTCTTTCTCAAATGGGCTTGAATACAGGTGAGTGATTTTCTCTGAATCCATATTCACTCTTCTTTCATCTCGAATGTCCCAGCCAACAGACGCCCAGCCCATCATCTAGGCAAGGCTCTGTTGGCTGAAAGTTCATTCTGGTTGCTGTTTAAACGCGTCTTTCCACGTGTCGCTGTCTTCAGCGAAATTTCTTTGGCCTCTCAAGCCATCAAAGCTGAACTTTTTTGCTCCCAGGCAACGCTGTTCCCACCGCTCGTATCAAATTCCCTTCCTTCGATCTTTCGTCTGCTCTCGAGGCCGATAACAACAGGCGCATGGCCGCTGAAGATGCTGGAGAATCTTTTGATGATGGAGAAGTCGATTTTGAGGACGGAGAAGTAGATTTTGAGGATGGAGAAGCCGATGAAGACGCCTGCGCAGAATCAGCATCCCCCCTGGAGCCTCCCAAACGCGATCCCCCTCTGTCCCGGAACGAGAAAAAATACGCGCAGCTCACAAAACGTTCACGCGCGAAACGGGCTGCTGAAGCTGTTCAACGCCTCTCTAGCGAGGGCATCAAGCCCTTCGTCGTAGAGCTAGCTAAAGGAGCGCTTCCAGTTGAACTGGAAGACTTCGACGCCTCTACTCTTCCTGTTTCGTCAAGTGGCTGGAATGCCAACCCCCGCAAGAAGCTGTCTCATGGGCTCCAAATGGTTTGGAAGAATCTTGAAGTCCTGACCTCGGTGTCTGGCTTGAAGCTTCTTCGGTGGGACGGGGAGTGAGTTTAGGATCCCTTCTGATAACGCGTTTAGCTGATAACTTTGTCTAAATTTTCTAGGAGTTGCATAGTGCTTGTTGATGTCCACGACCGTATCATTGCAGTCCTCGGCGGTGTTCCTCGTGGGTCCAAGGGGAAAGAATGGCAGGCAGTGGAAGCTGCTGCTACTGCTGCTGCTACAAAATGCCGCGAATCTAGCACTTTCACTGAGGCCCAGAAACACGGTCGGCGCGGAGATTTTGCCTCTCGGACGGTTGGGTATGGCTACGGCAACGGGTGGCGCAAACCGCAGAACTTTAGAGTCTCTGGCAAGGCGAACCAGAATGCCATGCAAGAGCTTCTTCAAAACAAAGCAATTCGGCGGATCTCAGGCTTTCAAAACGGTGCGCGTTACGGTTTGCATTCTCTGACCATTTGAACCTTGCCTGATTTCTTTCTAGCTCTCTTTAACACGTTCGGCCACAAGAACTACCTTGAACATAAGGAAACAAACAACGAGCTACTTTGTAAGCAGCCAGAGCTGCGAGCCAACTTCCCGAACAACGCCTTTGCTGCGACAACCTTCAACCTGGGACCCCTCTCGTATTCCCCACCCCACATGGACCCTGATAACCGTGCTTCCAGCTGGTGCGCTGATACCACCATGGGACCCTTCAATCCTGACCAAGGCGGTCATCTAGTGCTATGGGACCTTGGGCTTGTCATCCGCTTTCCTCCTGGCTCTACAATTCTTTTTCCTTCTGCCCTTATTACGCATTCTACCATCCCCATTCAAGCAGATGAGACCCGCTATGCCATGGTGCAATATTCATCGGGAGGTCTTTTTCGATGGCATGAAAATGGGTTCCAATCCGACAAAACATTTCTGGCAAAAGCTAGCCCTGAAGAAAGAGCTATTCGTGAGTTAGCAGGGACGTCGCGATGGAAGTTGTCTCTGCAGAAATTCACCCGTTGGACAGATATTTGTCATGGTGATTGGAGGGGTACAGCCCGTACCGAGGCTGGTTTAGATGAGCTAAGTGAACTTTCAGACCTTGAGGAGCTGTTGCCTGTTTTACGTCCTACTAAACGCCTTCGCTGTCAATAGTCGCCAGTAAATAACCTGTCAAACGTTCCATATTGTTGTATAAAATATAAACTCATTTCCTTCTCTTATCTTCATGAGTGCAGCGAGGCCTTATGTGCGGTAAACAAACAGGTGTTCCCCTCATGGCTGAGCCAAACAAACCTCACGGCGACAACAACATTCTCTGCTTTGATAATAGGGGCCAAACATCCTATAAAAACCCATCAGTTTTGTCCTACACTTTGTCTTACACTTCGCAACCATGGTGGTCGATATCTCCTCTGACAGAGGCTACAATGGTCTTCTCAAGGCTGTTACCACAGACAACCAATCAAATCCCGCTGATATTCTCGACGATCTCAAAGAGAGCTATGACACCGCAAACTTAGACATAAGCTCTAACCAGAGCTCAGATTATCTGTCAGGACTTAACGACGCAGTCAGAGATATCTCTAAAGGTGTATCAGAAAAAACAGCTCAAGAATACCTTCGGTACGTGCTACAAATTGTTCAATATGGCTTTGTTAACCTCGTCTACAAGCCTCATGAAACAATGTCAAGCATTTCTGATTAAACAGCAGATGATAAGTAAAGAAATTGAGTTCTTTTGTGCCGATCCCCACCCTCAAGCTGCAGTATATATTGTTGCATGGATCATGGAATCGTAGGTCAAATGCTCAACCTGTTATGTTCTCTGTTCAATCATTAATTTCTTCAAGCTGTGATACAATAAATCTCGATGGTAGCTCAATTGTACCAAGCGTAGAAAAATCGACCTATACACATGCTCAGAAGATGCGAGCAGCTGCAACGTTTGGGTTTGGGCGGATTCACGGCTTAGGAATGCAGGCCTGGCACAGCAGTGAAATTACGGGCAAGATGCTTGGCAATCCATCTGTTTCTGAGATTGTTTCCACTTATATGCTCAGCCTTCGTCGACGAAAAGCAAGTAATCATTTTCGAATATCTTCCCATGTCTCTAACACATTCTTTGTAGACACAATCAGGGGACACACCAACCAGTGCACGAGCAGTTACATCAGTAAGTATTTTCGTCACTTCAACAACTCTTTTGTTCAAACTTTCAATTGTTAGGTGCTACTCGAAAGACTTTTTTACTACAACAAGCAACCAGATTTTCGAGAACCCAAGGCTTATCAATCTACTTCTCGAAGTGCTCCTAAAGGCCAGCTAGGTGCATTTTCTCGAGCACTGTTGATTCTTGGTTATGTTACTGCCTTCTGTGCACTGCTCCGCATCGATGAGCTGTTGAAGATTCAATTGCAAGATATTACAACAACCAAGGACCCCAAAACTGGTCGAGGTAAACTCACACTGCGCCTTCCATTTCGGAAAACTAGTCAGTTTGGAGGTGAAGCTGAGTGGGACTTTATCCTAATAATCAATTACTTACTGCAAAACTAGATATCAAGCCATTTGTTTTTTGGGAAATGCCAGAAGAGTATCAGCACATCTGTGTTGTACGGGCCTATGCGAGATGGGTTCGGATCACAGGACTGAAAGAAGGTTACTTGTTTCGCAAAATACGTGCAAATGATCATCTTGCTGAGGAGAATGAACCGATGGTGAGTTCTATTGACTCATTCCTTGGCTATTTCTCAATATGATTGTAGACGTCGGAACAGTTTCTCGAAATGTTTTGAAACAATCTCCTAGATATTGGTATTGACTTCATCCCCTACGGAACTCATTCATTTCGACGCGGGGGGTGTCAGTGGCTATCAGTGGAACGTCGGTGGCCTTTGCGTCAAATTTGTGAGTGGGGTGGATGGAGTCAAGAGTTTACGCACTTAACTATAGTGAAATATCTCATTTCCTGGAACGATAACCCTCATGTGGACCGAGATGATTTCTTTAACATGGACCGTGCTCCAACTACTGTTTGTCCTACCTGTAATCGATCTTGTCACTGTGCTTAGGAGATAGAATTAATTTTGTCCATTAACCAAGTTGTAGCGTACATTATAAGTATATGTGTCAGAGTATAAGAGTAAATAAAACAAGTTCATGAAGCAGAATGTTTGGCAAGGTCACAATAGTGACGGGCAATGGCAGAGTTATCAGTAAGCACCTTGCCTTATTTGTCACAAAAACCTCTGAAAAACGAGCGCCGTACTCGAACTTTGCTTTGTTCACAAGATGCTCTTCTTGCACACCACGGATTTTTCGTAATCGATCTGTGATGGCTTTCCAATGGAGACGTTCGCCGTTACTGGATGAAAACTCTTTCCAAAAGTTGTCAGGGCTGCTAGCACAGTATCGCTCTGCAACATACTGTATAGAAGTTAGCATAGAATTCGAGGAATAGTAAATAGATAAATAAGATACCTTCCATTCTGTCCAATACTTTTTTAACCAGCTCCAAGTACCATCACCTTTGCCACGGAATATGTCGCACCAGTACCTAAGCGCAATCGAAGTGCCATTGATTTCAAGTAGATTTTTACCGCAATCGAGTGGGTCCCAGTTTGGCCCTTCATCATCCCATACGCGGTCCAAGCGGGCAATGTCGGCAACAAATGATATTTGTCGGGGTTCACGAATATCGCTGTATTGATACTTAATGACCTTCCTATGTGCGATAGTTAGGTGATCAAAGTTCACAGCTTTGACTGATAACTTCTGGGCGGGGGCAGTGGGGTTCGCTGATGAGTTGTTGGCAGCTGTTCCGCTTACGGGTAGTGCTGAAGGTGTTGCGACAGTTGCCAATGGGTTACTAATTGCTGCAGCATTTGCCTGTCTCGTGGCTGTGGTGTTAATGCCAAAGGTAGGTACTTCATTTGTAATAAGTCGAGGTTATCAAACGAAAAATTACTGCAACTCACTTGTATTAGTAGGGGCAGCAGCGTTGTAGACTGCCAGGGCTGTTGCCAGTCCGGGTTGGAGAGGGTTGTCGAGAATGCCTGGGTAGGGATGTTGAGGACATTGTTGCCTATTTGAGATTACGACCCACCTGAATTCGTCATAACTCCTGGTTGCTGGGTGAGTATTGCAGAGGATAACGGTCCCAGACCAAGCCTTTCAAACGTTGCTGTGAGGTTCGAAATTTGGACCTCCATCGAACGCATGAACTCTGCCAACTTGACCTGCCCAGAGTTTTATTTAGAAAGAACATCCAAGCAAATGCAAATAAACGAACCGTAGTAGTTGCTTGTTCAGCAGCCTTTGCCTCCTCTCTAGCTTTCCGCCTGCGTACAATTTCTTCGCGTGGGATGAATGGGTGAGAGTCATCAAATTCTATTGCCTAGGAAAGCATAAATTCAGTCAGTAAGAGTGATTGGAAAGTGAACGTAGTATGCGCCCAGGAGACAACTGATTCCTTTTGTTCTATAGTTTGCAAATCTTTGGAGCGTTCTGTGTCAAAAAGCTGGGCATTGAGTGGCGTGTTTAACGGCCGTCCCAGTAGGTTGTTTCTCCGCAGTAGCGAAGGCTTGAGCTTCCTGGCTTTTGAGGCTGCTACAGGACCTTCCTTGGACTTAGGCTTGTTCTTCACAATACCGCCATTTTGGATGCCGCGATGTGAACGTCGAGCGCTCGGAATAACACTAAATTTAAGCTACGTTGAGTATGATAGCAGCCAGAAGACTCAGGCAACGTACGAAGGCCAACGAATCTTGTTCTCACTGAACGCAGTAATCCTCTCCTTCAAAACCTTCATGTTTCCTTGGCTACCAAGAGAATATTCTTTGCAGAGTTCTAGTAATGCTGGGCGTTTCAAAACGTTGCTGTAACAAAAGATATATCAGGACATCATTGGGAAGAAGAAAAAAATCACGTACATATCCTTATACATAGCATGGAACACACCGTCTTCCTGCTTTCCAGGAAGAACGACTGTACCAGTAGGCTGAGGCTCGGGAGGATATATGACCTTGAAATTTTCGCCGTTTATCTTGATATTGGTTGAAGACTCCCTGTTTGAATCGACCTCCATGGCGTCCATGACTTGTTGAGTACGTAGAGTGAGCAGAGAGAGCGTGGCAGCGTGCAGATTCAGAACCCCGCAGAGGGTAGTGAACGATTGGGTGTCGAGCGCGTCGAGGTCGGAGACAAGTGGATCCAAGGAGCCGGCGGCGGCAGCAGCGCCATTGTTGATCGAGCTGCAAGGGACGCCGAGCGTCAATAGCCGTTTACGGATGCAAATAAGAGAGAGAGAGAGAGGGCTGAATACGGAGAAGAGACCGGCAATGGGACGGAAGGAGGAAAATTGAATAGTAACGTGATCGAATTCAGTTTGACGATGCAAAACGGCATCGTCAAAAATCCGATCAAATTTTTCCGGGCCTGTCATCCGGGCGTGACTACATGGTCTATACTCAGAGAGAAGTGATGAGGACATGACCCAAGCAAGGTGTGGTCCACGGCAGTGGAGCCTAGTTAAATTTCACTTGCCCACAATTGAGTAGCACGTGCCCGCAACCTTTCCCCCTCTCGCTTGTCATAGCTCAGAACCTGCCTGGAACCTGCTCAGAACTGGCTAGAACTAGGGAGCGCTCCCGGTTAATATAAAGTGGTGGGTGCTTACCTCGCGGAGGAACGGAAAATACTCTACAGTCCTGCACTTTCTGCTTACACTTCTGGAATTTTGTCTTCTTGAACCTCAGCATTGAGTCCTCAAACCTCCTAAAACAAGGTCGAACCTCTCTGCGAGTATAGAGTGCTGGTCTATTTCTGTGGCTCGAAATGGGCACAAATATTCTTCGGGTCATGAGGAGATACTTCTGTGGCGCTCTCGCCGTAATTACGACGCCTTCTTTGCTTCGAGGAGAATCACAGACTAAAAGAGGATTATGCCCTATTGTGCCTCTCAGTACGTCCAGGGTTTCATGAGAAATGGAACCGTGTTCCATCAGACACTCTTTTTGAGCTTTCATGCTGATTCTCCGGTCCTTATCTTTTCCAAGCTGTGATCTTTTGGTGAATAATCCACAATACCTAGTAAGAGGTGAGAGTTCTATTCACTGCTGGACATATAACTTGTTGTCTCTAGCTAATAGTCTGCTGAAACAATTCTCTTTTAGCACTGACGCTTCTCAATCACGGATGATCCGATCATTCACCGGTTTCTAGTCGAAACTTTGGCCTAACTTCCAACGTCTTCGGTATACGCTCCACCATGCTCCCAATTTTCTGTCCCAAAAACTCGTGTATTAACGCTGGCAATATCATCCTTCGAGCCTGAAAGCATCGTTTGAATGCAAGGTGACGGTGTGTAATACCTCATAATCCAGGAAACAACACGTTCTGAGGGTGTTTCGAGTAGGAATGGCCCAGGCCGTGAACGTAATACAACTCCACGGAATCCAAACGGTTTCTGGAATCCGAATCCAACTTGCTCAGGCTGTGGCTGAAGCTTACATCTATACACCGTTCCTGCAATACGTCAACGCAAGCCTTTTGTCACTTCACCTCTTCCGTCTTGACCACTACCCGCCCCAGAAGTGCTTCGTTGTATCATCTCTCGCAGGCTTACAATATTTCGTATCATCGTAAAAGACGGAGTTACTGTTCCTACTTTTCCAGGAAAAATACCGTCTTTCATTCTGTAAACGTACGTTTGGCATTTTTCAAAGCATAGATATACCTTTTTGTTACTCAATTCTCCTTCTCTTTCTTTTTTGTGCCACCATTGCTAATGAATATGGTCGTCACAGGCTTGAAGCACCTCAGGAATGGATTTCAGTTTTGACTCAGTTGTAACAGAGGCATCGACTCATCCGCTGTTCGACTACACAAGTGTAGGCAGTAGCAGTAAACTTCAAGCCAAACCAGACGCTACTGAGGTAGACGTATCATCTTTTAGGAATGATGGCTTCAGTGACTTCACCCTCGATCTAACCTGTTTGTCGAATCCCTCGTCGCCAGTTAGCTCGCCACCTACTCCACTCGCTTCTGACAACGGGCACAATATTCTTCCCGTGCCCTCACCGTCGTCTCCGCTTTTGCCTCAGATGCAGGAGAGTCCTCGGACTAGTACAGAGACACCAGCAACGCCGCCTAAAGCTAATTCGCTAACCCGAGCAACGTCTATGATGCGCATGTCGCTACCGGCTATGAGGTACATCGGTCGGGGGACGCCTATCGACCCTGGTCGAAGATCACAATGGGGTGGCAGGAAGAGTGAGGACGTGACAGAGGACGGGATGCTTTTTTCGGAAATTCATGCTCACTCGCTCGACTCCCACAATTATCCTCATCGTCGCTCGATCTCGTCGGACTGGCAAGCTGTTTCTGAGCATCGGGCTTTATCTCCTCTTCACATGGATATTGATTCCGCACTTGAGAATCATACCCCAATTTTCCTCGAACCGCTACCTGAATCATCCAAGATACAGATACAAGTTGATTCAGACCCAACTGAGTGGGAGTCGGTGATGAAAACGGTATTAGGCTCCTCCGGGACGTCGTCGTCCTCCAGGCCCCGTACAGGAGATGGAGGTACATCTTCCAGTCGACGGAGTAGTCAGGGTCCTATACCTGGTCTCCCTCAACATCCCAACGGCTTTGATATCGTCCTCGGACTAAACTCCGCCCTAGATTTGGGCCTTGGTCTTGGAAAGGGTATGAATTTCTTCGATTTGGGATTGATTCCCGATACTGGGAGAGATACGCCTTCAGTTTATTCATTAGCTCCAGAGAGTCCCGATCATACTCGACCGCCTTCTGCAGAGAAAGCGAGCCAAGAGCTTGACCTTATGGAGAATGAGCTGCCAGAGCATCGTCCTCCGCAGAAGGAGGAACAGAAGGAATTACAACGGCAGGAACAACACTCATCTGAAGACGGAGGTTCTGGGACCACCACTGCTGAGACCCGAGCTCCTGTAGCGGTTCCCTTCGAACCAAAGGCTATGCGTGATGTCCATAGAATGCACTGGTGGCAAAAGACCATCTTCAAGCTCAGAAAAGTGCAGAAACTTCTCAAGGCACCGAGCAGGATGTGATGCGGTTATGTGGAAATAACATGGAAGCGAAAGGATTATTATTTTCTGTGATTATCTTCATATTATGTTTCTTGCTCTCCTGTTGCTCAATGACGTTCAAATACTCGACCGCCGACTCCTCTTTTCTTCACTTAACATAACAGAACATCCGTTCAAAATATCCGCGTATCGTTTTTCATAGCCAAATTACTTCAGTCAGCTTTCAGCCTAACTCGTTCAACTACATTCCTTCGCCTATCTCCATGCTTGGAATTCACACATTCATTTTCCTTTGCTTTAAGTATATTCTGTAATTTCTACCTCATGAAAACTTGTGTTGTCCTCAATGAAGACGCCTGTTGGTAAAATTATGTAGCTGTTCAACGGAGCCACACGTATTTTTACACAAGAGATATCCAAAATACGACCGCCCACAGAGCGACGTAAATTTCAAGGTTGACGACAAGATGAGTTTCAGCACTGTTCATCCCCAGGGTCTCCGTTTCCACCGATGTCCCATTAGCAGCACAAGCAGTCGTGAAACCTGTTCACAATGACTTTTTAGTGGCATAGAGCACGAAAAATCGTAGGACATACTAGTTAAATATTGCTGTGCTGAAAATAGAGTCATTCCGGCAACATTGTCGTAGCCACACTGAAGACACGTTGCGAGGTTTTGACTAACTGTATCGGTACATGCGCAAGTAGTAATATTACAATCCTATCGAGAAATTCAAAGAGCACGTTGAGTATTAGCACACGTCGGAAGAGGCTTAGTCTCCTGATGGCAGAGTGGCCTGAACTCTAGTATAACTCACGGTAAGAGGCGGCCTTAGAAACGAAGTGCATGAACTCGTCCCGCAATATCCGGATGTAATGGAGGTGAAGTTCACAGTTTGAGTGGCGTTCACTACGTCCGAGACGTATTTGCTCGGGGCGGCCAGAGCTGGTACAAGTGCAGGGGTAAGTAGATGGCTCAAAGCTAGTCCACTAGAGGCTTACTGAACGGAAGCATTACAAAAAATAACACAATCGATGTGAGCATTTGTTGTAGAGCAACAGGATTCTTCGGCTAAAAGAGAGAAATGAAGGAGAAGGACCAGCCACCAGGCTGAAGTGAAGGATTCAAGGAAAGCTTGGGATGGGAATCTATGTAGAGATGATGAGGACACATCGTTGTCTTTATGAATGACAACGCATAAATAAACGGGGCTGGAACTATTTCTGGATCGGCCTCGATGCTCTGTTTTTAGACGATGACAACAAAGGGAAAGAGGAACAGTCGAGGAACAACGATGGTCAACGATGGTAACAGCGAATTGGTAAAACCCTTCTGAGTTCACTGATATCAAGGAGCTCATGAATAATGTTGAAGTATAAACCTTTTGAGTTCAAAGAATCGATAGATTGTATTTCGAAGCGAAAGACTAACTGTTCCATGATCACGTTGTCTGATGTATATTGAACTGAATCATAACTCTTCGATCGAGGTAGGGAAGTGGAAGGTATCAAAAGGATCAACCAAAGACTTGAACAGCTGCAAGCGATCATAATGAGAGCCATAATAACGTCGTTGCCCTAGAGTCAACGAACATCAGCAGCAGAACAAGTTCATTACGATGGAGGCTTACAGTCTGGCAATCTATCGTCGATATAGTTGGGATAGGCACTGCACAAGATAGGTTAGTGCCGATTCACAAAATTGGAATTAACGAACCCCCATTCCCAGTCGCTTGGCATGTTCGATGTCAAGCTGGAGATCATACCTGCCTTGACGTTGGTGTAATGTTTACACTGAGGAAGTAGAGAGTCTTACCATCGACAAATTCGAAACCGCTGTTTGGATAAGGCGGAAGAAGGTTTGGAGAAGATGCATAGGGCTGGAAGGTGAACAGGGTATCCCGATGCGCGAAAGCGGTATCATTTAAATCGACTTGGTTGATCACGGATTGATTGCCACCGTATAACTCAACCTCGACGTGCCAGAACTACCAAATAATCATTGTGATTGCATAGCCAAGCGCAGGAGAAAGAGACATACATCAGAGTTATTGAATCCCACTTCTGCCAGGTAAGTCACTAACGCAATCATCGACGCATTGGTCAAAGGACTAAGTTGAGGCGCCATGAGGGATTTTGCATAAAAGGTATCATTGGTGTCGGGCAGAACAGTTGTGTTCATATTGCCGGCAGCAATAGCAGTTAGAGCCTCGATCCAAGTTCCCTGAGTAACATTGGTGGTATTGGGGATAGGCAATTTGTCGAAGAAGGGAGCAATCGTAGAATTGAACGAATCTGCAGGACCGAAGTAATTCCCAAGGAAGGCAAACTGGACCTGTCCATACGCCAAACCTTTCAAAAAACCAATTTCGCCACCGAATTCCAGTGGAACGTTGCCACTGAGAGCCCATGATTGAAATTCCATAAATGCATTAGATGCAGTTGGAATATCCATCTCCCAAATAAACTCAAAAGCCGTTGCAGAGGAAGGAACGGCGTATGTTCGGAATTCTAATGAAGCTACAATTCCAAATGACGCCGAAGACCCTCGGATTCCCTGTTACAGACATCATAAGTAATATTTAAGGGCGCACAGAACCAACGCGTACTAACCCAATACAGCTCTGGGTTCGAGTCTTCAGAGGCGGTGACTATGGATCCGTTCGCTAGTACGACTGTGGCGGACAGGACATTATCGAGCGTCATACCCCACATTCGAGAAGCAAAACCCCAGCCACCGAAACCTGAAAAGCGCGAGGTTAGTGTTGTAACTCCAGGTCCCCAAAACATATGACACTTACCGGAATGACCACCGATACCAACATATGTACACCTTCCATGAGGCAATCCCCTTCCTGCATCATTGAGCACTAATGCAACGTCTCCGAGTCGATTTCCGGGTTCAATTATAGCGTTCCCAGTCACTGTGTCGACTGTGATGTTTTTCATCTGGCTCAAATCCACGACAAGCGATCCATTCGTGCCTCCAAGGCCATTTGCGATGTATGAATGCTGAAAGGCAATAGAATTAATAGAGAAAAGAACGTTATATAAGTTTGAGAAGGACGCACACCACCGCTTCGCGCAACTACCTTCAGGGTTTGGTTGACACCGGCTTTGACCACTGTTGAGATCTGTTCCACGCTTTCTGGATAGGCGATCGCGATAGGTTCTACGATGTATCGTAGATTGTCTGTTCAATCGTGAGTAATCAAGCCATGAGTGGAACATATTAGAAATTGACTGACAGGGTTGACTTGCTGCAACATACCCCGCATCGTCTTGGAACAAAGCCTCGACATTTCCAGCAGCGAGTTGCAGCTTGAGCTCAGTTGCGTTTTGAGCAAAGGAAAATGCAAAGGAGACCATGAGCACGAAAGCAACTCTAGGTCGCATTTTGAGATGGAGGTGAGGGATAACGTTATCTATCATTCATGGCGGTAAGCTAGTACATACAACCTTTGTATCAATTCTGGCGAGACTAGCGGCAAAGTCCTTTCCATAACGTTATGGGGCTGAAAGGATGCGCGGGAACGCGGACCGAGTTTCCACTACTCATGCACTCACTTCGACGACAAGCAAGCAGAACATTGTTTGGAGGTCCTTTAAATTGCAATGCCCTGGCTCACATGCGGCCCCATTCGCCAGCTGTGAGATCTTACAGTATCCTCAATGAGTTTCCGCCAGCACGAAAAAATTTAGTTACTCCGTGGTTTGTTACTATTCTGGTTGGCGGAGTCGCGTTATCAGGCTATGGAGGGTATGTCATTATCTATTCTGTTTTCATCCCTATTGACGCACTGCAGATTTATTCTATATCAAACATTGACGATGTGGCCTCCAGAAGTACGAGGAGACCTTCGTGACGCAGTTCGTGCTAAGCATAAGGGAGATTATGGGAAAAGCGAGCAGCATTTCCATAGGTACGTGCATCGTATTTCTTAATGATAATTCTCAAGCTTACATACGATAGCCTGTAGGGCTTGGAATACAATACGAACCCTCCCAATCGAGTCACTGGGCTCTCAACCATATCTCAAGCTTACCGGAATGGCACTCGCTTTCGCGGACGTGTTGGAGCTCTCAAATAAACAACAAAGGGCGTACGAGGTGTACGTTCATGCTCTAGAACTTCTGCAGCAGGATGGTGTCAAGGCGATGCTGACTGGACCTGAACGTTTGAGGGCAGTTGCGATCTCTTCCAAGCTGGGTGAATTGGCCAAAGATTTAAAGAAACACAAAACTGAGGAAGAAAAGTGGCTTGTATGGGCTGTTGAAGAACTACTGAGGATTGTCAAGAGTCCTTCAAAGGATGATGCGGGCGAGAACGTGGATTATAGTCATCAAGGATCGTTCAATCTTCCTTTGCTTGCATTACCATCGTGGATCAGCAAAACCGATATCGGTGCGCCTTTGGAGGCGCTTGGGTCTTTCTATGCTGAGGCTGGCCGACTGGAGTAAGTTATGTTATCCCTTCCATGACATCCATTACGCTTATGCACCTAACCTTGGTCGTAATTTTCAGTTTTGCAATGCCACTTTATCTGCAAGCGATTTCGCTCCTCATTCCTCCTGCTCCCAAAAAATCTGCCCCGGAGGACCGTTGTCGAGGTAGGATTGTCGAAATTTCATGCCCTCTCAAGTTTGGATATCGAAATTGAAATGTTGTTACTTCTTAGGCGCTCAGTTAATGGGAAATCTTTCTGAAATGATCATGCGACGACCACCAAGCCCAGATACCCTTCATCAAGCGGAGGCATGGGCATCTCAAGCGCTAGCGGTTACCAAAAAAGCTCGAGCAGAATCTAGCAAACCCATTGATCCATGCGAAGAAGTTTACGCCGCTGCGTTATTTAACCTCGCGACATTTAGAAACGTAAGTTTTTTTTTCCTCGTGTGAGCAGCTGCGAGCAGGCTTTCTGAGCTCGTTATTTTTATATTTAATTTAACATAGATGGCTGGAGATAGAAATGTCGCTCGTAATTTGTACAGGGATGGTCTGGAGCAAGCCAGGTCAATAGGGTTGTCAGAAGGTGTGGTAGAAGCATCTCGGGCTCTTCATCGTTTAGATATGGGTGAGTCGGAGCCTAGCCATAAGTGAAAAGCGACATGTCGCTATCATGTTATGACCAGCGATCTCTGTTTTTATTGATATTGCCCATGCAAGCTCTAGCTTCTGTATACAAAAATAATCTGGGGTGTGCTACGGAAACCCACAATGTTCACAACCCTATTCTTCAGAACAGTCGAGTGTGACCAGATGAGATCGTCCCAGAGTGACTCCTTTGTTAACGGGCTTTGTCAACGGGATGCACGCGCTCCACACAAGCGGAGCGGATAAATTTTTTTTGTACCTACAAAGGAACGGCTGATGATTGAACCTTTTCAATGTGTTCACACTCAAACTGATAACCTTGTATCTTTCCTATTGGGGTCGACCAATCATGCACATAAAACAAAGGTACAGGCAAACTTCTCATTCAATTCGACCTCATGCTTGACTGGAGGTTCTCGCCCATATTCAACGGGACCCATTTTTCCGGTTTCAATAAAGAGGTATGCTACTTTGAACCTCTTTGAACGAGGTTCATCTCACCTCATCTTACTGTATTGAGCAGATCTACTACGGCCTAAGTGCTAGGCTCGGAAGTTGCGCTTTCCATTTACATAGTCCTGCCGCATAGAATACGCCTCGTCCCGCCATGGCAAAACCGATTGAGGGTAGGGAATGGTCTCCCCTAGGCAGATTCGAGTTAAGTGTAGGGTATACGTGAAACAATTAGCCACTGGCAGGCCGAGGGTGCCAACGGTTAGTCGTAATCGTCAAACCTCTCCCTACCACCACATGCTAAATTCTGAATGATACATTACCAGGTTCAACGTCTATCCGGTCCTTTCCCCTTCCAGACGGCCGAAGCTTTCACTTACAAACCGTCGACATCCAGTTGACGATGACATGCACAGGACATGCCTATATTGAGTATTTGCCTGCATCAAATTTTCCGAATTCTTCGCAGACTCGCAGTAAGTTCTTACTTGACATCATGCACCAGCATGGACTGCGGTGATCGTTGATCGTGTCTTCGCGCGCGGTGGTCTTCGAGCGTCGCATTGGCCGGGAGGGGGGTGGGGTCAGGATGATTTTTTTTTCTGGTATGACCACTCTATTGTTCACGTCGTATCGCTATTGCTCTTTGCTGCTCCTCATTAGTTGATAAACTTTACCTGAGCTGCTATGCGTATAAAACACCTCACTCTAGTAGGTAGTGAAACATCATGCTAGAATTTGTCCAGTCCGCTTCCGCTTGTGTGAATCAGGCAATCCCCTACATAGTCCCTCATGAGTTTAGTGACCGGATCCCGACCGGATCCCGACAAATCCCAACCTCCTCAGCGCCTCCCTGATCCCGCCTATCCCATATTTATTTCGGCTTGGGTTGATGATTATCACATTCGCATAGGGTCGCATGAGTTGTGATAAATTAGGGGAATGTTATTTTCTCAAATGATCTCGTTCAAATCTGAAAGAAACATTATGTAAATCTCTGTGTCGGTTATCCTAGCTTATCCTTTCCTTTCCTGTTATGTAAATCTATTTGCGCTTCCTGCCGACCACGTAATTGAAAGCGACGAAGTGAAAGCGACGAGGGAATTTATCCAGGTTTAAAAAGAGGTGCTTTGAGGAAAAGTGCTGCAATTTTGCGATAATTGATATAATGATGCATTGATGAACAAGATCAAACCCGGATTACACCAGTGTAAACCAGAACCTCAAGTAAATCATTTGCGGACTTCTCCTTTCCTTTCCAAACTGACATGTCATTTCCCAGATTGATCAAGATGGCAAGATCCCCAGCTTGGGAACCTCTGGGGATGTAGTTGCAGTAAATTGCAATGCAGTTGAAGAGCAATATTCAGAACTCGGGATTGCGCAGGGTCTGCGAAGGGTTACAATGGGTTACAACACTAAGTACAATATGTATTCACAACGTTGGAGTGTTCAGTGGTGAGGCCTATGTACAGTCGACTCTCTCTTAACCCATACCCCTCCGTGGAGGTCCAGACCTATGGGTTATGGGAGAGTATGGGTTTATGGGGTGGTCACACCAAGTGACATGCGTGACGATTTGCCTAATCTGGAGCTGTAACACCCCATACATGGGTTATCATGGGTTATGTTAGCTCAAAATTAGTGTAAATCGACCATTTTATTGGTTTTGTATTGATTTTGTGCCAATTGTCTACTTACTGATCCCATTTTGGGAGTATCAAATGCGATGATAGCAATCAAGGTATGGGTTATGGGTAAAAATATAGCGGAGAATACCCCCAAAAAGGTATGGATTATGGGGTATGGGAGAGTTATGGGTTATGCATGGCATTTCCCTGCAAACGAGGTTGGTAACCCAAAAAATGTATGGAGTATAAGGGAGTATGGGTTTATAGGGGTATGGGTTAAGAGGGAGTTGACTGTACATACTTAGCGCTTACCCGTACGGTAAGGAGGCGGCGGGCTGCCCAACTTGGTTAGCTTTTAAATTTCTTTTTGGTTTTCGGTCCGATAATTCAGGGTTCTCGGCTATTGTGCCGAGTTGCCGTAGACATTTCGGTTCCTCAGAAACTCAGCTACCAGAATAAAGTGCTGTATGTATGGTCAAAGATGATTTTGCAATGGTTTCACTGTTTTCAGTCTTGTGTCATTGAGTTTTTGGCTATTCTGCTGAGCTGTCAAGTCCATGCCGCGGGCCTCCATTCCGCCGCTCGGGATTCCGAAGATCCATTCCTTATTGTAATCTCTTCCTATTGTTCTTTCTCGCTACACATATCCTTTCGTTCTAGTCTCTCATTATTGTCTTTTACTCTTTCGTTCTAGTCTCTTCTTATTGTCTTTTACTCTACCCTGCAGGTACTACTTGTATAGCTCCTAGTAGTTAGTCTGGCGCTCCGCACCGCTGCGCCGTTCCGTTAACGAGCTTGCCTCGTTTTTGTGTGAAAGAGAAAGAAAGGAATCTAATGGGCACTCCAACCAACCAATCTAATACACAATATGCGAGTTCACTGCTATCAAATTTATTTAATAGCAAGGGGTAGCGTTGGCAAAGGTTCCGCAAAGCTTTGAGAGCTAAGCACGAAGCTTTGATCAATCAATTTGAATCGTTCTAAGGGTTCGATATATTCCTTTGATCAAGGTAGATTCAGCACGATTTGTGCTTTGGTTTGTATTGATTTGGGTATATCAAGAATTGGGGGTTTGAATCAAAGTAAATTAAAACCGAAACACACAGACCCCTACGGAGGGCTAGAACTATGTGCTGGCACAACCACACAGCGTGATTTGCCCTTAAGACCAACGACTGATCCTAAGTTCGAAGAATACCCAACAACTGGATATACTTCTCGCAGTCACAAGGAGCAGAACACGACGTTCCTATACTCACAAGTGCCGGGCCCGAATGGCTGCTAGCGAAGAGGTTTCAGTCTGGCGGGAGTGTGTCTTTCCTTTTTACGGATTAGCACTGCAACGTCGTCCCAAAATCACTTGTATTCCAGATACATCGGATCGCTATTTATACATACAGAATATAGAGTCGCATAGTACAATTAATTTAATACAATAAACATTCGGAACCGCAAGGAAACTTCTACACTCAGTCAGATACCATTTAATTTGAATCTACATGTCCTTATTTGGTCCATATTGGTTCCAAGATTCTAGTATACCTCCAAACATAGGTAGGTACTTCAATATTCATTTAATTTAATTGTTTTTAGAGAATGACTCGAATGGTGTTCAACTGTCATTGCGGTTCAACACTTACTTCGATCGTTTGTCATTTCGTCCGGAGGCAAATCAGCTCTCCTCGATTCTAATCCTATCAATCTGATTCATCTGGATTAAACTAATTGCTTCTCTCTTTCAACAGACACCCATTGTGCCTATACTCTATCAAGGGAGTTACGCATAGTATTCATTTAATTGCATTCTTCAATGTTTTCTACGTCAGGACTCTTTGACATTCATTTGATATGTCTTCGGAGCCTCGCAGTCTTTCGATCGTTCTTCTAGTCATTTTCCTCAACCATGCAACTTGATTGGTCTATTAGACTAAATCGCAGTCCTTTAGATTAATGCATGATCTTGTTCTAGAAGGAGTATTTGGTAATTCCTGAGTTCTAGAAAGTCATTTCGAGTCAATCCTCGGTTCATGGTCACTTGAGTAAGTTCTTCCAAACTCCTGCCAGTGTAAGGTCCAATAAGAATACCCTTGGTATGTCATACGTGAATGGTCATCCTTCGGATGTAGTCCGAGTCTGGTATAATCCTGCTTGACAAACAGGTAGACTGCTATCCGTAGGTAGTATCGGGGATGGGTAAACTGACCAACTTGTGGTAGTATGGGTATATGGTCCCTTCAACTTGTTAGACTGATTCAGTATTGACTTTGACTGTCAATCTGGGTCTCAATTACAGTCCTCTTGATACAAATCTATACGTGAAAATGTCACAATTCACAGCATAGACGTCTAGCCAAAATTTAGGCGTGTCACCGTAGATATAAATACTGCCTGTACGCTACTGTAGTTCCTCAGTTTAATTATCAACTTAGATCTCCCTTCTCAACTCAACTCTTCTCTAAGTCTTCAGGCTCAACGCCTTGGAGTACTCTCTACTATAACCCTAGGACTTAGACGTCCTCTGGTTCGCTCCTCGTCATCGGCGATACCGCCGCTCCGACCTGGCTGCTACTTAGCTCCTCCCTCTCTACTCTCGCTCTCCGGGGACTAACGGCGTAACGGCGGTGTTGTTAATAACTTCACTACTGTCCCACTCGTCTTCCGCACTTAGACACCTTGTGGCCTTGGCACGGTTCCACGGTGTACATGATCTTAACATGAGCTCCTCATCCTAGCCTGAGCTGCATATTGCTGAATCTCCCCAAGTGCATATACTACTTAAAAGTAGATAAGGGGGCAAGGGATGATCACCTTGCTTGCTAGGTCCTTTGCCACCCAAGCACCCGTGCATTTTTTTCACACATTAGGCGCCATGCTGTTCTCCTCTTTGCTTGTTTTCTTTGTTACCCCATTCACTGGTTCCTCATTGCCTTCCTTTTCAGAACAACTTCTTGCTCTATATTTCTTGTGTGGTATAGTCAATCTCTTTGTTACAGCTTTGTTTCTCTCTCTCTTTCTATCCTCTCCCTCCAGCACATCTGCAAAACCTGGATATTCGGCTAAGGGTCTGAAAGCAGTTGAGAGCACTTCCCAGCAGTGAAAGCACTGGGATCTGCTGGGATCTGCTCTCGGTGCTTAGCCAAATATCCAGGTTTTACAGATGCATCCCCACTTGTTTTTCCATAACTGGTCTCCTATGCCAATAAGGCAAGTTCCATGTTGAGGTGTAGAGGGAGGAACAGGAAGTGGAGAGTAGTATAACTTTGTATATGTATTCTTGAATATAAGCATGACAATATGAAGCTATGAACATTTTCTCATTCATTGAATGAGGTCTTTGCAGATGGAATTGACGCCGCTTGCGGCCGGTGTCAGCATCATCTCCAAGGATGGAGGAGTGCTGGAGACCCTGGAAGCAATTCCAGTACACAAGGTAAATCGGGTCTAGTAAGGAAACGATTCAGAGGAGACCCAAACATACCACAAGGAGCATGGCTCCCAGAGCGAAGCTCGCTGAAGGGACGAGTCCAAACGTACTCCGATCAGCCCGAAACCCCCAAAAGAGCCATGAAGAAGATAAAGAGGTTTTCATTCAAGATCCAGTTCTACCACCTCAGGATCCAGGCCATTGCGCAATGCGAACTCCTTGAGACGTGAAGCTCATGCCCGGGTGATTGCAGCAGGAAGGACCTGTTCTAGGTGGCGCCAGTAAATAAGGAAACATAAGGATGACCAACCCCCAAGTTTCATGATGATTTCGGGAGCGACTCCATCTAGGAGCAGTTTCAAGGAACCGCCAATATGGTAGCTGTGTCCAAAAACGTTCTCTAAATTGCCGGCCCTGAATATGCGAGCTGTGAGGGAGAGGAAATGAGTTTTCAATAGCGGGGACCATGTATCGGTCTCATGTCGGTATGAGAAGAGCGGAGTGGTATTTGTTGGTGAGTTGTTGACTCGGAGATGGTTTTCAAAAGCCCATACAGGACAATAGTTGTCGCCTGTCTCTGTGAGCAGGCATTCTGCCCCCAGGATACCTGTGGTCTTTGTCCAAGGAATATGGAAGGATATGACTCGATGGCCATTCACTCTGGAGCAGGAAATTCTTGTGGAGCGGGTGACATCATGTTCGACTGAGAACTTAGTTAATGATGTGATCAAGAGTTCTCCAAGTCATCTGCAACCCCAGAAGGCTGTGACGGCAGCAGCCCAGATTGCTGCGTCTTGAGGTAGAGTGAGGTTAAGAGAGTGTCGAAGTGCTAGTAGATGCTTGTCTGTGATAGGACCACAGGGTGTACGCTTGAAACTAGAGCCTTTCTTGTCCGCCAATTTGGTTAAAGCAGGTAGCCATCCCTCCTTCCTGTGCCATTCCGCATCATTATATAGGTGCCATGACCGTAGACCATTCAGCCAATTTCGGATCATCTTTCCTGTGCCTGAACCACTGTAGTTGGCCACAAATGCACCGAGTAGGGTAGCTGACGCAGGCATCCGAGATGCCTCTGGAATCCCTTCTGCATCACAGAATTGGTTGAAGCGTAGTAGACCTGCCCCATAAGCCTGTTGAGTATCATTGACTGTAGATGAAAGCAAGCCTTCATACATCAATGTTTGCAAACGAGGTGATACTTCTGCATCGCGATGTAATTGTGATTGTAAAGAGTAAGGGGTAGTCCAGAAGAGTATGCGCCGATCAGCTGTGACATGTGGTCAAAACTTACTAGGCAATATTTCGTTGCCTTTCATGGGTTGTCGTGCCTTTTTAGCTGGTAAAGATAGAGCCGCTGCACGGCGTATATCCATCAACTTGGTCTGTGGTGAAATAGGTGGGGTCAAAGAGGATATGTGAGTGTCAAATTGTACTGGCGTATCAATATGGTACGGTAAAGGAGAAAGGCAGCCTAAGGTTGCGTAAGCCAGAAGATTAGGATCTATTATAGGAGATCGAGGTAATATTGTACTACAAGAACAGTCATTGGTAGCATTTGCTGTATGCAGTGATGAGGCTAATATAAGTAAACTGTTGTTTGTTGGTCTTGGTGAGTCTGACTCCCAGGGGAAGATGCTGTCCCAAGGTGTTGTCTCGTTGGCCAAAGCTGGGGTGATTGAGAGTGCATCATCTATTTGCGTCAAAGAGGCATGTTGATAATGTGGGAGGAAGTGGAAAAGATTGTAACATGCGGTCTGATGACCTGCCTAGCTCCCCATGTGAAATTGGGTCTGAGGGATTCAATGCCGATGCGATATATTTGAAGGAAGATATGATAAGGTGTTGTGCCGTAACTCGGACACAGAGGTTAATAGCCTCATTGTGACTTCGTCCTTTCGAGTGTGCTCCAATAGTGCCATTGTTGTTGGAGTGGATTAGGAGATGCACGTTGGTCATCTGTAGCTGAACCAGGAAATAAATCAGGAGCTCTAAAGCAATTGCTTCCAACCAGCAGATATCCCGACCAGGAATCTTCCAGTCTTTGGCCAGCTTGAATGCGTGCCACTGCCCACGTATTATGATGCCGATGCCCCAAGAGGTAGAAGCATCAACATATATACCCAGGTCTTGCAGTGGACCAAGCGGTTGCAGCTGGCAAAAAGCATGAGGATCTGACAGACGGTTCTGCCACCATAAAAGAGTTTTCTTTACTGAACGTGATGCGTAACGAGTGATGAATGGGTTGGCTTGAAAGGTTCCCATGAAATTGGAAAGCGTAGGAAGGTGTGATGAACCATCCAGATATACAAAACATACGTGTACCAATGATCCATGAATAATTTGAAGATCGAGGAGTGTGAGAGCCTCCGATGCCAGAATACGGTCAATAAGCACTGAGATGCGTGTAAGGAACTTCAAGCGTTTAGCCTCGGTAAGGGAAACTCTATGAAGTACAAGATCCCAAAAGAATCCAATGAATACCATTGAGAAGTCGAACCAGTCTCCGGTTTTGGTTCCGTGCCAAGGCACATCGAGGATATTGATTGGTGCAATACATGTCTGTCGGTCGTAGCGGTATGAGAAATCCCCATCGAGTATGTTGCCTTTTTTGTCAGGAAGTCGTAATATGCTCATATCATCTTCGAACTTGAATGATGGTAAAGCAGGACAGGCCAATGTCCAAATATCTATGGTTGCATTCGCAATCTGACCGGAGTTACTGCTGGCAGGACAAAGCCCAAATGGGTGGTTGTGGTCAATATAAAACATTCCTTCTATACAGATGACAAGGTATGCTTTGTGATCTGGGTGCAACTGGGCATGTGCGATGGAAAGCCTTGATGTCAAATGTGCAAGCCTGTGTTCCATCTGGAGTTGAGGGCAATCTATGAGTTTTCCAAATTTAGTCAGTAATAGGTCCGGATAGGTTGAAGTAGGTTCACACTAAATGGGATAGGTAGCTTGCAAGAGCGGATAGAGGTAGCAATAAGGCAGCTCAAGAGAGCGGGAAGGCAGCTAATGAGTGGAAAGGTAACTCCGAAGAGCAATAAGGTGGCTCATATGAGCAAAGGGACAATCCAGCTAGTGAATGCATAATGGAGCCTTACGACTGATTGAAAGTCATGAGTGGATAAACCAACTCAGACCATGAAGGAGGGATGAAAATGGAAGAGAAAGTTTGTATAGAATAGCTCACCGCATCAGCCACCCAGGACGCCATGTTGAATTGAGTTGGGAAGTCTTTGGTGTAGATAAAGCTGTACACTGAATCCATATCTTTACTTCCTTTGGACAGGTTGCGGCATACCCTCTTCTTGGGCGGCATAAGTGGGCCCTGATCTTGGGTTGAAACAATGAATGGGGAGCAGTAGAAAGGACCCCGCAGTATTCTTTCCGTGTCCTGCTGGGTGAAGGGACCCGACATGCGACCAGCATCCAGCTTTGTAGAAAGGTACTGATAAACCATGTCCAGGTTTGCAGCCACAGATAGGTGATTGTTGATAATCACTGAGCATTGTAGAATAGGCATGTCTCCAATGGGAAAACCGTGGTGAAGGTTGTCAATAAGAAGAGGGTATCGGTCTGTCAAGTGATACTGCTGTAAAAGGGTTTCATATGCCTCCACGTTGTAAGGAGCCGTAACTCGCTTGTAGATTTCTATATCACTGGGAAGGGCATCTGATGGGATAGGATGGTGAACGATTGATTGTGAGAAATCAGTATAATACAAAATAGGATGAGGTGCTAGGCTAAATTCAGGAGAAGGAGAAGGAAGGGTGGCGTCCTCAAGAATAAGTTCTGGTGCAGACACCACACCCTGTCAAATTCGGAAAGCCCCTTCTGAGACCCTCTCACAAGATGAGTGTCGGGACAAAGCTGCATGCTCTTTACCACAAAAGCTACAGATGTGAAGCCTTGCAGCATCGTGCTGATGCCTACATCCCGCAGGAAGATTATAGTCAATACAAATTTTTTGAACAGTCTTGTGAGTGCTGAAAGGCTTGACGGTTCTCAGCTCTCCTTCCCGATGCAAAGAGAAGCAAGGTTTACTGTCTGGGAATGAAGTTGTGCTTGGCGGATGGTCGCGAAGTTTATGTGGACCACTACAGATAACGCAAGTTACCGCAAAACCAGAGGATCCGACGGGGTGGGCTGTTCGCAATCCCATAGTATTTTCAGGTCTATATGAGCCAGGAGAGTCGTTCGTCCCTCGCACGATTTTCGATTGGGACCGGAGGTCGGAATCTGAAGGGCATTTGGGTGTGCCCAAAGGATGAGAAGACAGGGAAAGGGCTGAAATGGCCGCCTTTGCATGCAATCGCCCATTAACTTGCTGAACATAGTATCCTCTATCGAATAGGGTGCCTTTTAAAATGTCGTGACGTGCACCTCGCTCAAATTCATACCAATCCAAGTAATTTTCTTCGAAAGAGCGGTAATTGACAAAAAATGAGCAGTGCTTTGTAAACTCGCCAGCAAATGTGAAGTGGTTTGGCCTATCCTCGGGTAATGGAGCTTCTGACAAGATTAAGAGAGCTGCCAGAAGGTTAGTAGTAGCCTCTTGCCGCTTCAAAGGGGACAGGCAGCTGTAGACCTCATCCGAGCCCCATAGTGTGATCATTTTTGCCATGTCGAAGACTACAACCTTCTCCAGGTTAGGATTTTCAATGGAGCTTTCGGGACAAATTAGCTTTGAATGAAGTTCATGTAAACAATACTGTGTGAATTCTAAACGGTCATCCGTGAACCAATTAAGGGGAGGATAGAGTTTGTTGATGATGGAGTGGAGTACAATGTCAGGTACGACAACAGCTGGTCATTGCCCTGCAACGCAGATAGAAGGTTTGGCTAAAATCATCGAGCCTTGAATAGGTCTGATACCCTTCCCATTTTTTTCTTTTTCTTTTTCCGCATTTTTCATTCGAGCTTGCAGAATTTTCCTTCTTAAGAAGATAGGCAATGGGCCTGTTTCTGTGCAGAATGGTTCACTAAAAACTAGCTCGTCGAACTCTTCCTGAGTATAACAATATAAGGCAAGAAGACAAGGTCCGATGTCCAGGGTTACCGGTCTTGGCCCTTCGTAATCGCGACAGTCTAATGTTAGGTTTATGCTATCTTCATTTGCTTGCTCTGCCCTACAGTTGTGATTGTTCTTCGTACGAATACTCCGACCATATGAAGATAGAGGTGGCAGAAGTGTCAAATGTGCCTCGAAAGTGAAACTATCTAATATCGGTCCAGTGATACCAGCATTAGGAAGAATTTGTGTCATTGTGACCACAAGAAGTCTAAATCCTAGATTTCCACGAAGTGAGGGATGGAGGAGAGTGACAAGACCGTGCCTACAGGTCAATAACTATAGAGGTTCTGAGGTCGGATATGGGCCGGAAATGGCCCGGGATAACTCCGAGGTCCAGAACTGAGTACTGGCCTGTAGTACACACTGGGAGTGGGACATCGGTGAAGCTATTAGCAACACCCTTCACACACTGTTGGTGTTCCCGGGAATATAATGGCAAGAGTGCAAGATTGGGATGAGCAGCCCAAATGGGGTTCCTGATGATCCGGGAGTCTGGAAGCAAAGGGTAAAGAAGATATTAAAGACTGGGATAAGATGGTACACTTGATTTCAAGCTTTACTACAACGTACAAAGTATTCTAGCTTATATACATCCCAAATACAGTAGTCATAAGACCTCGATGAAAGCTCGGAATAATAAATAAGTCACAAGGTAATTATTCCGAAGTCCGGCCGCTCCGGGCCGGGCCGGGAAGCGTATGGGGTGAATTGCATGCATATGACAGAGAGGAGAAATGTGAGTAGCGGCTCAGTGAGCGCGACAAGCAGAAAGAATGAAGGCACGTGTTTGCTACACGACTCGTAGACTGATTAAAGATGACACCTTTCATTCGCATTCCTCTTTCCTTATCTTACACTTAGGCTAGCTGTTTGTAAACTTACGTAGCTTCAGCTGGCAATCTGTTCCAATCCTGCACACAACTTCTTCAACATTCTGAAATGATCATGGTTTATTTTGGTAAGGAAACAGTTGTCGGCTGTTATTCATAATTGTTCAATCACTGGGCTGAAATTCAACAATGATTTCAGGTTGTTGCTCACACATATTATGTCTTCATTGCTGTTCTGCCTGTGCCAACAAGTGTTATCAAGTTGTACATGTTGTAGTTGTACCACTTGCATTTTATTTTCTTTCCCTGTATTGATAATACATACTTCCTCTATCTTGCCTTACAATTTTCATTGCAAGTCCTTTGGTGTTGTCCTTATCAAGCATTTCTGAATCAATACTATCATCTCTTAACCTAACAGTATGCATATCATAAGCAATGGGTAATTCCAGACATTGAAGTG